TGACTATGGTTGGATGGTCTAATGGGGCAAGCAAAGTAGACTGGGGTAACATTTCCAAAAGCGTCTAAGTGACTTAGGTGCCTAGGAGCCTAATTCTCATTGACTTCCAATGAGGCTTCTAAGACCCAGATCCTCAAAGGTATTTAGGTGCCTAAGTCACTTTTAAAAATGGGACTTAGTTTCCTAAGTCAGGCACTTTTGGAAATGTGACCCTTGCTGCTGGACACTTATAGTTCCAGGGATCATTTTCTTTATGAGTGTATTCAACATGATCTGAATTCTTTTTCTGTGTCTGCCACCTGAAGTGAGGAAGAAGAGACTTTCACCGTTTCAGAATTATCCATAGCAGCTGCCCTCGCCTTGACCTCAGAAATATCATGGTAGGTCTGACATGAATATTGCTACTGTGGTTGTATAGAGTGGGCTAGATTTAGACCACATGTACCTAGAAGATGCACAGATTTACAATAATTCTTAATTTGAACCAATAATAGACCTTGTAATGTTACTACCATAGATTTACCCAGGCAAGGCAATTTGTGTATATGGTATAGTATCTTGTAGTTAGAGAAAGAGCCTGGGAGCAATGCTATTTGGTTCTATCCCCAGCTCTGTAAGTGACTGCATGACCTCAGACAACTTCACTTCACTTCTCCCTGCCTCTGTTTCCCATCCCGAAACTGATGATAACAATCCTCCTCTGTCTCCCAGGGGAGATGTGAGGTCTAATTAATCAATGCATGCATGCAAAAGCATTTGGAGATCCTTGTTGGGAAGTGCAGAGTGCTATGAGATGGACCCATAGAGTCAAGGGATGCATTGTGCATCTTTCATAATGCCTGGGTGAATTTTTAAGAGACCTGCAGCCCATTCCTTCTCTCAGTGAGATTAATGGCAAAACTCTCAGTGACTTCCACTGGGTGCAGGACCTAACCTCAGGTTCCTAAATTCTCGTGCATTCATGTTTCTCTATACACCCCATTCATTTTTCCATCCTGGCAAGTAAAAATAAGTTTGAGAAAGGCTCTTTATCTCCAAAGCTCTCACTGAAAAGGAAACACTATGGGACAAATCCTAGCAACATACCAGAAAGTCAGAAGAGCAAGGGCTGCAGGACGGAGCCAGAGCAGCTGCTTGGTCTACTTGACTCAAGACCAGAAGCCAGAAACTCCTGGCTTCTAATTCAACTTGTTTTCTATGTAGCCTTGGGGAAGTGACTCAGCTGCTTTGTGCCTCAGTTTCCACATTCTATAATAGGGTTAATAGTTACTAGTCACCCAAGAGGTGGCGAGGGTTAATCAGCGGATGTTTGCAAAGGGTTCTGAAGATGTGAAGCATCAGTATATACGCTGCCAGATCCAGCCAGTGGAAGGGAATCTGTGTCATTACTAGGCAAAGTACCATGCAATAGGCAAGCTCAGTGCATCCCCAGGGCACAGCTAGCTGAAAAACACAATTTCTGTCCCGTGTTGCAGCCCAAATCGGGACAAAAGGTCAAAATTTCGGATTTTTTCACAAAACGAAATATTCTGACATGTTTTGTTGCTATAGGGTAAAAATGTTTGGTTTGAACTTTACCATTTCTGCTCAGTCAATATGTCACAATACGAATAGTCCAAATGATAATGTCTAAATTAAATGTTTCAGCCTTCTCGAAACAAAATGTTTCAATAATTGCGCACTGAAAATTCAACACCGTCAGGATGTTCCCATGAAACCTTTTGATTTCATTGAATCAGCATTTTCTGAAGGAAATCTGTTCTGTCGGAACATTCTGGACCCACTTTGCTCCAGGCTGGGGTGCTGATCACTTGCTGTCTTCAAGCACAAAATGCTCATTGCTAATGGAAATGTGTTGCTGCCGGTGGCAGAATAAATACATATTGGATTTGAGGCTAACTGTGCCCTTACTCCTGAGCCCACTCTGTAGTGCAATTAGCAGCCGCTCCTACAGCTGGCTGCTCCAGGCCAGGACTTAGAGGCGACTGGGCAGCATAGTTAGTCTGGGAAGGAGAGAGCCAGAGAGAACCACAGCTCCAGAGACCACCACAGGGAATTTCTATGGGACACTACACATGACTCCTAACCCTCACCCTCCTAGTGCCATGGTGCACAACAACCCATCGTGGCAGCATTGTCTGGTTTCTAGTGTTCACGGTAGCAATATCCCATCTGTGCCCACTGCTGAGTGGGTGCTGGTGTGTCCTTCCTTATAGACCTGCATAGACTTAGCCCGGTGTGTGTGCAATGAAAACCACCAAAGGACATCACCAGTTGTGGCTGTTTTATTAACATTGGCTGTTGCAGGGAATCCAAGCTGAGGAGAGAAGCTACCATCATAGAGCTGGAGAAGCGGGGTCAGAAGAGAGTTCGGTTTGGGAATGAAATGGAAAAGCTGGAGAAGGCGGTCATTAGGAACTGCAGGCTCCTGCGCGTGAAGGCTGATCGAAAGGCCTTTCGCAAGAAGGTCAGAGTTGCAAAGGGATTGCAAGAATATCCAGAGTTATAACAGTTAATGCTAGCAAACATTATGTGGAAGGGATATTAAACCTCTTGCTTCAGGGTTTAAGCCGATCTATAACTCCTGAAGATCAGGATGAGACCTAGCTTATGTCTACACCACAGCATTTACAGCAATGCAGCTGCCGTGTTTCTGGTGAAGACGCTAAGCCGCCAGGAGAGAGCTCTCCCGTTGGCTTAATAACTCCTTCCTCCATGAGAGGCAGTAGCTAAGTTAGCGGGAAAAGTTCTCCCTCTGACATAGCATTGTCTACACCAGCGCTTAGGTCGGTATAACTACATCGCTCAGAGGTGTGGATTATTCACAGACCTGAGTAATGTAAGTTATACCGAAGTAATTTGTAGTGTAGACATAACCTGAATGTAGAGACAGATTACCAACATCTGTCGTGAAGGGGCTCCTACACCTTCGTATGAAGCAGCCAGGGCTGGCCACTGTTCGAGACAGGACACTGGGCTAGATGGACCCTGGTTATGATCCAGTCTGGCAACCTCATGGTCCTAAGCGGGGGAATTTCTGGCCATTTTCTTACAAATGATGAGTGATTCAAAATCTACCCCAGAAACTATCTACTTTTTGTTCCACCCCGGTTAAAATACTATAAAGCTAGCTGAGGCCAGCACCATTCATACAGCCACCACGTCCATGCCTGGCACTCCAGCAGAGCGAACGCTGTGTGGGTAATGGAGTGAAAAATGTAGCCTTGTATTTCCTTGCCATTTCCACAAGTGATGCTGTCTTTGGAGTTAACAGAGCCCCACTGTTCTCTAACATTAAGGGGCTAAGTAGCTGCCCAAAAGCCAGCTTGGAGGTTTCTCTCCTCCTGCTGTGATTCCCAGTAGAGAGTCAGGGCAAGATCCTCGGCTGCTCCTTTGAAATGAACAGAGTAATGCTGAGTTATTCCAGCTGAGGATCCGGCCCTTAATTCTTTACTCTCACTAAATCCAGCCAGGAGAAAGGCTTTCAGAAGTTGCATGCCCCTTCAAGAAAGTGTCTCTTCTGGGACAGTTTGCTCTCAGCTTGTTAACAGAAGGCATCTGCCACCAGCGTTGGGGTTGGAAACCTTCACCCGCATGAAGCTATGAAAGTGGTGTGCAGCTCTGTTTTGACAACCACTCCAATCAACTTCAGAGCCAAGACCTCTGCTGGGTGGGAGCAGCATGCTGTTTTGAAATGGGAGAAGGCTGTTGCCATTACACGCGCCTCTTCTGCAAAAGAACCTGCATCGTTAGAACGTAATCCTGTTGTCCTTGTCCATTCAATCCTTGCCCTAGGCTCTAGAGAAGGCCCGCCGGGAGAAGGAGTACATCGAGCTGCTTTCAAGCCGGCCCCCCTTGATCTGGATCCCGCTCAGAGTTCATGCAGTCTGGGAAAGAATGGGGGTGAAGCTTACATGTACCATTCTGGCTTCCCCTCTGCCGCAGGTCACCTGGTGCGTGAGTTGGGAGCGATGATCGGGGCTGACCTTGTGGTTACAAAGCATGTATGCACTTTGAGGGGCAAACAGGAGTGCAGCAGCTGGGTCTTGTTAGAAAGCTCTAAAAGGGGGGGGGAGGGAAGCATGGTGTTCGGAAAATACAGAAAATACTTTCCCTTCTGGGTTGGTGCTTCAAATCCCCTCCCCAATTGGCTGGGAGTTGTTACCGTCTGGTGACTCTGTGAAATGAATGGCTCCCACTGAACAAGGTGTCCAGGTCTGAAAACATCGACGCAGTCAGTAGAAACCAGCCCTCTGATTGGCAGTCTCGACAGAGAAGCCCAGGATCCAATGGACCCTGGAGAGAGAGAACGGTTGTGGTTTTTGTCCCAACGAGCTGTCTGAGGCAGGACTGACTCACACATCGGTGACATGGGGCATAGAGAACTTGCCCTGTTTCTGTATCAATTCTGTGCATAAGCAGAAGACCAAACCCTCCGGGACTATCAAACTGGCTGCTCTCTCCCGCTCCAGATTCACTCAACAAATTACAGGGGGGGAATATATTGACAATTCAGTGGAAGTTTTATTCTGGGTAAACTAGACTCCAGACAGACCTGTATTCTTATATTTTGTTCATTCATTGCAAGTACGCCCCACATGTATAGTGGGGCTAGTTCAGCTGCCTGGGTTTTTTGCACATATGTTATTAGCCCCCTTTAATTCAGTGGAGAATAGGTTATTGGCTGTAGGATCGGATAGCCTGGAGGCTTGTGAAATTGTTAGAAGCTATAGCCGTGAGCAGAACTATTCCAAGTTATTTTGTTTTATGGCTGGGGATGTTGACAGGCCCCACCTAGGGTTGCCAACTTTCTATTTGCAGAAAATCGAATACCAGTGCCCTGCCCCCTGCCCCGCCCTTTTCCCGAGGCCACGCCCCCACCCACTCCATCCACCTCCCTCCATCACTCGCTCTCCCCCACCCTTGCTAACGTGCTCATTTTTATCGGGCTGGGGCAGGAGGTTGGGGTATGGGGCGGAGTAATGGTGAGGGCTCAAGCTGCGGGTACGGGCTCTGGAGTGGGGCTGGAGATGAGGGGTTTGGGGTGCAGGAGAGGGCTCCGGGCTGGGACAGGGGTGTAGCAGGGGGTGAGGGCTCCAGCTGGGGGTGCCAGCTCTCTCTCTCTCTAACAAGTTTGATAGTGGCCAGGCTACGTCCCAAAAGTCTGGGCTCTTTGGCAGAGATTAAACCAGCCCAAAACCTCAGAGATCAACACCCTCAAACTCTGGGAAGTATGAATCTGGATCCAAAACTCTGTGGCTCATGCCCATTAGCAAATAACTTACCCTGGTAGGACAAATTAGTTGTTGACTTAGCCCAGATATATACAGTCCATGTAACAAAAGAGCTGTGTGATGGTGGCAGAAAATCAGCTGTTCCAGAGTAAGCAATGATAAGAGGTATGTTTCTTCCAAGCAGGGATGTTGTTGATGTATAGACATGAAAACAGACGTGCTTCTGTTGCCGCTGATCAGGGATTATTTATTTACCCATTTGTAGCAAAGGATGACACCGGCCATTTCAAGAAGCTCCTGGTATGTTCAAGTTTAGGAGCTGTTGTTTCTAATCTTCCTTCCTGTCTGGACATCCTCCTTGCTTTTATTTTGACATCGTCACAGAATCGGAGAAGTGCGGGGGGGTTGGTAGAGGGGCGAGAACGGGAAAATTCTGCAAATAGGCTGCTACTCAAAGGAGATGGCGTTTTTAATTTACATCATAGTCTTCCCATAAACTGTAGCAAATCCTTATATCCAATGCAGAGTGTAGGACTGAGCGCTCCAGAGATGCCTAAATGAGGCAATGTTATTTTATTATTTATTTGTATTGTAGTAGCACCTAGGAGCCCCAGTGTGCTGGTGTACAAGCACAGAACAAGTCCCTGCCCCAAAGAGCTTACAATCCACATCTACAGCTACTAGTTACACAAATAGGCAAACTAAACGAGAAGAATTGTACATTGGTGGAACGGACTCTGAAGCTGACATGCCTCAATTCCTCTAGCCCATTAAAAGTTTTAGGGAGGTTTATGAACAGGCTTTAAATTTGCTCTTCAAGACTGTTCCATACAAACTTTTTCAGGATGTGACCTCTTTGATTCACTCCCTCCAGAGTTATCTCAGCTGTCAGAGCAGTGTAGCCTATGTACCAATAAAGAACTTAGCTTTGGAGAGTGGCCATTGTGCTAAAGCCCCCCATCTCCAGCTTGTGCTCATGAATCTTGGTCATTGGCCAGCATCTTAGAGCCGACAAGACTATTTTTCCAATGCACTAGACAGGTGCAGAGACATTGGACACGCACCATCAGGGCTGGACTAACCATTAGGATACCATACGTGCCTTGGGATTAAACTGCCCTGACCCCTAAAATTTGAGAAATATGAAGTGACTCTTTTCTGTTTACTGAGCTTTGCTTAGTTACAAACTCAAAGGATGGAAAATGTCGTCGAGATCTCTTGGGATTGTCTGCGGAACTTACTGTTAACAACAGCCGGGCAGAAACAACAAGGAGGCCACGAATAACATTTCACACATTGTGCACCAAGGTTCTCGCTCAGTATGATGGTCAAATTGACTGTCCTCAAATGAAAATGCTTGAAATAGTGAAACGTTAATTTCAAATGACTTTACTAGGGGAAAATCTCCTCCTCTGTCAGAGTTTCAGATGGGCTTTGGGGGCAGATTAACTTCCCCCACTCTGGTTCTTTTGCACCTTTCCAGCAGGGCAAAGGGAGCCAGATGTCCACAGTAGTCAGAGCCAAAAAAGCCAGCTCCTATACCTCCCTCCCTGCAACCCTCAGAGCAGCGGGGGTATATATGAGGTAGGAAGTGGCAGGCAGGAGGAGTGGTTGGAGAGTGATGCACTCTGGCAATTCACAGCTGGCATATGGTCCCTGGGCAACCACAGCCAGGTGGAACAAGGTAGAGCAGCCCCAAGACTGCTCTAACTTGTGCTGGGGCAGAGAACAAGGGAGCAGTGACCAGCTGTCCCCTCCCCAGTTCTTCTGTGCCCCATGGAAGAATCTGCCTCTATGTGTGGCTGGTGGTGTTACTTTGAAAACAAGCTGTTAAATATACCCATTAATTCTCGTCTAGACTAGAACATCCCTCTTGAACAGTGTGTCACTTTTATATTCAACTAGGTATAAAAATGGAGTCCGTATTGATCCCCGACTGGCTCCAGCAGGGAAATACAGGATCCAGAACAAGTTTGGCATGCTCACACTAGACATCAATAGGTAATGTACAGACCTTCTGCTTAGCTCCTTCTTCATTGGCAGCAAGGCCTGGTCTGCTGAGATTCCCAGGCCAGTTCTGCAGAACAAAGAGGGCTGGAAGAGGACTGGAAATGCACTGGGAGTCTGATTCTCTACTGCCTTGCTCTAGGAGCTTACCTGGATTGAATCTCTGCCCATTGTGAGGTTGACCCAACACTTCTAATAGCTCACTGGGCTTTAAATATTATTTTATTTTGTTTGAACCTGTATAAATGGAGGTAGATGCAAAATCTCTATGATCTATTGCAGATCCTCATTACTCTACTTTGTTCCCTACACTAGATTAGGGATACCTCATCATTTTGGCATTAAGTGTACTTAGGGCACCGTACAAATCTGGATGAACTGATACCTTTCTACAGAAACAAAAAGCCTGCAAGATATATGTGTAATATATATTAGGCCAGATCTTCAGTGGAATTAATGTGATGTATAGGCCCTTATGCTGAGAATCTCACTTTATGTGCATAATTCCTTGTATAGCAAAAGAACAATATATTTGACTTCTAAGTGTCAATAATGCCCCACTCCTGCACCCCCAAAAAATCCTGGCAAAAAACAAGCCTTCTCTTTTAATTCTGGGCTTAACGACCAACCCATATTGACATGCACCACTCAGAGTTAACCCTCGAGCGGGAGCATCAAAGACTGAAACTTAAAAGGAAAAACCAACCATTTCTTCCAGATGCTCCTTGGAAGACTCTGCTGAATACAGTGTCGAAGTTAAAAATCCCTATGGTGAGGCCTATTCATTTGCTACGGTGCTTGTCCAGAGTAAGTTGAGAATTCCGTTTCCCTTTAAACATTTTTTTATGGATTTTTCTATTTGTTTTCATTAAAAGAAATTACTGTATTAACCACATACACATGAACAAGGGGTATGCAGTGGGTTGTCTAGCTAAGCCTTAGTGATGGGGGGAGAAGTAGAAGGGGAGAACAATTGGATTTAAAATATATATTTAAAAAGCATCAATCAATATGTTTTTCCATGGTAAACTGTCCATAAAGCAATTTCAGTTGTCATTAGAAGACAAATAGCCAACCCATCAGAAAGGTTGTTGGTAAATTAACCACATATCTAAGAAAGAAAATCCATATCGGATTAACTTTTCTTCATGGTTTTATTTTCTCTCTTATTCAAAGCAGGGAGTGAGATCACTTTGGTTACAGGCATGGAACTTTATCTAGCGCAGTTTCATGCAAATGGTCTGGTCAGCTTGTATGATCTAACAGCAATAGCCCTTCCCTGAAAGAGCTCTTCTCCTAGTGTTTGCTGTTGTCAGGAGTTGAGTTAAAAAGAGTGTGTTCTGTTTAAACAAACAGAAATCAAAACGGCTGGGCTCAAGTTACAATGAAACCCAGTATTTATAACCCAGGGATCTAGCTTTAGCCTAGGTCTGACCGTCACCATTCTTTCCCCCTTTGCCTCTGCAATAGCCTTCAGGTGGAAGCCCGGCATTCCTGCCTGTTCTCAGTTAGGGTCCCATTCTCATCCCCCAGCCCTTTAGACTACTGCTGTCAGTCTGGGCCATAGGGACTTTTTGTTGGCCAGATCCAGCCTAGGGCCACTGCCACGCTTCTCTGGGTGCCCATGTTTAATTTGCTGAAACGCTGTTTTGTAGCAGCTTAGTGCAATACCCTGGAGATCACAACAGAGAATCAGTGCTTCCTACACCAGCGGTCGCTATGCAACTGGCTTTCCAGTCAGGCCACTGGACTCAGGCCGAATCTCTCCCTCACACCCTTACTGTCAGAGCCTGTCAGGCCCTTTCCCTCAGGGTCTGCCCAGATACACCTAAAAAATAGCTACTCTGCCTCAGTCCCTTGTGGCCCCTCTGGACTCAGCCAAAATCTTTCAGACCCTTTCTGGACACAGCCCAGAACTGTCTTCCCTCTTCGCCCTGCAGTGGACTAACACTGATGCGGTGAAGGTGTGCTGTGTCTGGACGCTGACCCCTTCTGCAGTGATACTACCTGTAGTTCGAAGCGCAGCAGGTCTGGAGAGGATCTAGTTGTTTTTTCTGAATGTCAGTTTGAGAGCGCTGTGTTTCCCAGAAGATCTCTCTCCGGGCAGAGCTCCACAGAACACACAGTTCTCATTGCAGAGTGTAACACAACAGGAGAGCGTTCAGGGCTCTCCTCTCTGTATCTGTTGTGATCCCAAGATAAGCTGCATGGACCCTTTTTATGAATTCCTTTATAGCAAGACAAATATATAGCAAGATTCTGCCCAAGCTAAAGTCAGACGTATGGGGAAACAACTGGAAATAAAGTGCTGGTACTTACAAAGGGAAATTATGCCAAGCTCTAGGGAATATGCAATGGCATCTCATGGGGTCATTGTTTAGACCTTGACATTTCTAATCTATATATAAAACAATCCTGTCATAAAAACCTGGACTGGAATAGACCTACAGAACTATAGACAGCTAAACATGCTCAGTGAGACTGACATGGGCAATAGAATAACTGAGATGGGAAGCGATACCATTCTGGAATAGGAGGTGAACTGACTGCTTCAAAGGTCTTATTGGTACGAAAGAGATGAGCTTCTGTGGCAATGTGAGATGCAAAAGCCAGTTTGGTCGATTACTCAGACAGCTGGATCTTTTAAAAGTATATATGATTCATTTATTGTTAGTGCTTCAAAAAATTCTCTGCTCCACACTGGGCCATGTTATCACCATTCCTTTTCTTTGTATGTTGTGCATTGATAAAATCTGGATCTTCTTTGTAGACTCAGCTTTCACAAGAGCAGAATGTGCCCAGAGAATTTTAAGGGTCATGTTTTGTTTATGCTATCTTTAAAATCCATTGTTAAATAGTGCCCTACATGAGTCAGAATTCAGCACGCACGCACATACATACATGCACGTACACACTACAGTTGGGGACAGATATTCACTTATAATTAGAACTGGGCAAAATTTTATGCAGAAAGCTTGGGGGGGGGGCAAAAAAAGCAGATATGGCAACACCAAAATGTTTTGCAAATTTGTGTCAATTTCACCAAATTGATTTGGTGATAAAACCCCCTAAAATAATCCAAACGTTTCCATATTTTGGTGCAAAATTACTTTTTGTTTCACGATTTCCTTTACTTTTATTCAAACCATCAAGAACTTTTTTTAAATGCTTGGAACCTAAATGAAACATTTTGTTCAATGTGAAATGATTTTTTTTCGACTTTTTGATTTGCAGAAAAATTTGACAAATGTTGTTGATCCAAAACCATTTTTATTTTAATGACCAGCAAACTGAAAAAATTGTTATTCATCCAACTCTACTTATAATAACAATGGCAGCCCCTAGTTTGCATGGCTGACCAGCCTGGATAATTCTTATCCTAATGCAGGAAGTATATAAAAAGCTCTGGGGTGTACAACTATGCTATACTTTTAGGTTCTTATAGCAGGCTCATCCCTGTAGTAACTAAGCCCCTTCCATTAAGCAATGTGGCTACCATCTGTCACATGTTGTTTATTCTCTCATCCCCTCCCCGGGGGTGCAAATCAAACTGAGATGCAAATCAAAAGCACACGTAACAGCACGATTTTCTGCCAAGAACTCTTGTACGTTGCACCATCCAAACAGAGCAAAGGTGAACTCCCAAAAGCTAAGCAATGGAACCACATGGGCTTCAGTGTGCAAGGTCTATTGGATGGTGGCATTTATTTGCAGCTAAGAAAGCAATAAAGAACAATTTATTGGGCAGTCCAGGCAGGAAACGTGTGAGTGAAAGTTAGGCTGTCATGGTGAAGGAATTCCACACTGCAGTATTTATATGACCTACTGTGTTAGCCTGGTTTTCAGAGGTGGTGAGAGTAGCCACAGATCCCACTGACTTTAGTATCTCTATGCCTTGGAAAATCAGGTCATATATCTCTAAAAATCAGGAGCTTAAAACTATGAGTAGATCCTGGGAAAAGACAGCAGAAACAAGATCCTTCCGCAAGTGATTGGATACATTCCAGCTGGCTTGATTTACCACCCTGAATTGGCTATAAATTCTGCAAGGGGAATGAAACTGACTTGGTGCTGATAGATGAAGTGACATGAAAACAAGCAGCACTGGACAATACATTTACCACTGCTTCCAAAGGAGAGAAGCAGAAGTAGGGTGGTCTGAATAACAAGCATGAGAAAGGTCACAGAGTACCCCCCACTCTCATTCCCCCTCCCAGTCACTCTTTTCAAACCCGGCTTGTGGAAACAGAACAGGTGTGACAACAGAACAAGGCAAATGATTCTTGTTATGTTCATGGCATACAAACAGAAAAATTAGATAAAAACATTAAATGCTCTTTCTAAACGGTTGCAATTTAACACAACTTTATTTCTTAAAATCCATAATACTAACGCGCAAGAACCAAAAACAAGCAGAGAGAAAGAAGGCTGCTCCAGAGATTGAGGCACAACTCACCCCACCTTCCTCTAGGCTGGTTCTTTGCAGACTGACTGCTGAAAAACTCAGATTGCACACTTCCCTACAGAGCCCCTGAACCTTCAAGCAGGACCAGGGAAATCCATGAGAATTAAAGTGATAGCTTATAATTGTAACACAATTTTCAATACATCAAAATTCTATCACTCTTTCCATTCCACTAGTATCTCAAGAGGATGTTAAACAACAGTCAGAAAATGTGGAGAAGGTTCAGAGAAGAGCCATGAGAATAATTAAAGGATTAGAAAACCTGCCTTGTAGTGATAGACTGAAGGAGCTCAATCTATTTAACTTAACAAAGAGAAGGTTCAGGGGTGACTTGATCACAGTCTATAAGTACCTACATGGGGAACAAATATTTAATAATGGGCTCTTCAGTCTAGCAGAGAAAGATATAGCACAATCCAATGGCTGGAAGTTGAAGCTAGACAAATTCAGATTGGAAATAAGGTGTAAACTTTTAACAGTGAGGGTAATTAACTATTGGAACAATTTACCAAGGGTTGTGGGGGATTCTCTGTCACTGACCATTTTTAAATCAGGATTGGATGTTTTTCTAAAAGATCTGTGCTAGGAATTATTTTGGAGGAGTTCTGTGGCCTGTGTTATACAGGAGGTCAGACTAGCTGATCACAATGGTCTCTTCTGTCCTTGGAATCTATGAATCTATTATAGAAAACCTCCTTGGATGAGACAGCTGTCCTAGCACCACTTAGTACCAGATCAAATTCTCCTTTATGAAGTCTCTGGTCAGAGCAGAACTCTGTGCTATTGGCACTTCCAAATATTGCTTCTTACATTTGCTTTTGGCAGGCCTGCGTTGTTCCTTCTCCCCTGACTCTGCCTGATGCCGTCCTGGTAACATGCCCCTTCCTTTTGCTATTTGTGTTTAACAGTCTGAAAACAGAATCCAGAGCAAAGCCATAGGGCTTGGCCTGGAAGCTCTCCATGTCCCACTAAACAGGCCATTGGCAGTCGTTTTCTTGGCCCCTGCATTGTCTGACATGCTTTTGTTGTCTTAGGCGGTCCCAAGCCTAAACGGCTCTCTAGATTAGTGGGTTGCCCTGCCTATCAATGATATTTTGGGGTCCTTTGTTATCCTTGATGAACCCAGCATGTCCCTTTGATGTTCTCCATGATTCCCCTCTCTAGTCATTGCCACCCATTTACCATCTTCTGCCTATGATTGTATAATGCTATCACATGGCTTCATTCATTTAGGGCCATCCTTTCTACCTGGCCAGCAGGTATGCTGTTAAAGTAATGCTTTCCCTTCCCCATTCCTCATGCCATGCACAAAGCATGCCGCCTTCATGATCCATTGTGGCCCGGGACAGATGGAAGCAACAAGTGAGAGGCTATTTCTGAATGTGGGATCTCCCCATAGCAGTGCAAAGTTTTGTCTGCCTTCCCTTTCATCACAGCAACAGAAAATCACTTCTGAAAAGATATCAGAATTTCCTAGTCTGAAATTCCTAATTTCCATCCATTTTAATTGCCATGTACTGGCTACTGAGAAAGAATGAATGTGATCAATTCTTATGTGCATTTATTTAGGATGAGAGGTCTAAGAAATGCCACCATTTGCATCTTGGTTTGGAATTCTTCGATTCCTTCAGCTGCGTGATTACGTTACATTAAGCTCAAAGCCACTAGACTTTGTTCTGTGATCCCAGCAGTTTGCAAGGTTTGGCTAGGATCGTTGTTCTCATGGGAGAGACCTCCATGAAACACGTAGGTGCCGCAATAAGTGCTGCTGGTGATTCAGTGTATGACACTTTTCCCTCTGAGCCAGTAGTGAGCCCATGTCTTGGAACGTTCTGTACTTCTGGACATGCTGTCCTTGGGATGAGTCACAAACCAGAGGTCCAGGCCATATGTGGTCATTAAAGATCCCATATCATTTTCTGCAATGGTATGGCAGCTTAACCTCGGTGTCCAGGCCATATTCCAGCATCAATAACTAGTATGTTCGGCTGTCCTAAATTTCCCCAGCACTTTCAACAGAATATTCTTCTTCCCTTCCATTCCTGTGTTGTTGTGTAGTGTTGCCATGTGGTGTTGAATAGATGCCAGGCTCTGCCCCAGGGGTGGCTGCATTTCAGTTATGGGTGAAGTGATCCTTATCAGTTTGTTAAGCTAGTAAAAGGCTCTGCACTGGAAAGTGTTCCTACTTGGAGAAGTCACCACCCAGGTGTGTTTTGAAGGCTAATATTTAATGTTTGTAGTGGACCGTATTTTGAAGAAGTGATACAATACATAAGAGTTAAGTATCATTGCATATTATTAAGAGGAAGGTAAATATTAAAACATACATTTGTTAAATGTGTTTATTCCTCCCATCCTCTCCACCTTCTTTTACAGAATATTATGGGAAGGAGTCAGGATTTGATTCAGAAATATACAAAAGTGAGTAAATTATTGTTGCTGAGTTTTTTTGTACGGGCTGAGGCCCCCTGGCACAGGGTCAGACAAGGTGTACCTCTTCCCAGTAGCCTGATGTTTATGAAAAGCACCACACACACTTTTGGCACTAGATGAATGACTACAATAATGACACTAACTGAGGAGGCTCCTGTTTCTATCGTGACTAGGGCTGTGATTTTGTCATGGAAACTTTTAGTAAATTTCACAGCAGAGGTGTGGGGAAAAACTGATAAGACTCTGGTGTCCCTAGCCTCTGTTTGTCAGAAGTTGGAAATGGGCAACAAGGGATGGATCCCTTGATGATTACCTGTTCTGTTCATTCCCTGTAAAGCACATTGCATTGGTCGCTGTCAGAAGACAAGGACCTTTGATCTGACTCAGTATGGCCATTCTTATGTTCTGAGAGCAGGATGGGGATTGCAGAACGAGCCAGCCCTGCACTCACCCCACAATGGCAGCTCCTGTTCCACAGGGCTTGGGCCGGCTCCCCATGCTGGGCTTTGCGACCGGCACATGGGGTCGCAGCGCCACTCAGGTTTGGTTCCTCCGCCTCTCAGGAGATGGAGGGGCAGAAGGACAAAATCTGAGTGGCGCTGCGAACCTGGGCGCTAGGTTACAACACCACTCCGTTTGGGGGCCTTGACACAAATTCACGATTTCTGTGACCATTGTGACCGCCGTGACAAAACTGTAGCCTTAATCATGGCTGCATGGTTTTGCTCTTGTTTCACAGGATCACTCATTGGCCAGGAGGCAGATTTTGCCTTTTCACTGAAGCCCCTATTCTCCAGAGAGAAGGAACCTTTCACCCTTTCCTGCTTCTTTTCTTCTGATCTACTTCAACACCAACGAGATATCACCTGGTTCAGAGACGGTGTGTATTCGTATCCACATAGCTTTCTTTGATACAACTGCTTTCCCCCTATAAGCTCTGGTCTAGTGCTTGCAGAAGAGAACTGGATGCCAGGATTCCTGGGTTCTGTTCCCAGTTCTGGCACGTCCCTTAACTTGGGCCTCCATTTCTTCATCCATAAAACAAGGATAAGAATACAGACCTGCTTCGTGGGGTGACATGAGCCTTAATTCATTCATGTTTATAAAGAGTTGTTAGGAACCTTGGTTCTACACAGTGGAAGTGCAAAGTGTTGCTATTATATTCCTGTAAAGCCAGAGGAGACACTGGCGAATGAAGTAAAATGTAGCCCTCCCAGACAGCCCATAGGAGGGTAAGTTACAAACAGAGCTGCAAAATCAAGGACACTGGTCTTTACCAGGATGCTAATTGCCTCTGTGCCTTTAAGCTGTGGGAGGCTGCACCTGTCCCAGGAGCAACACAGTAAGACTGCCTTTGTTTTACAAGTAGCCCTGCGAGAATCAGCTGTGCAAGCAGCAGACTGTGCTGTGTTCTAAAGATGGGCCTGATGCACAGAGTTCAGATCCATATCTGAACTCTCCCAAGGCTTGGGGATAGAAGCAAAATATGCTGGCTTGGTGTAGATTTGTGCACGGGTTCTAATCCTGGCTCTGCCACTGGCCTGCTGGGTGACCTTGGGCAAGTCATTTCCCCGCTCTGTGCCTCAGTTTCCCTATCTGTAAAATGAGGGTACCGAGCTGGTTTGTATGACAGTGTGAGATCTGCTCATGAAAAGCAGTAGGTACTGTTACTATGTGTCATGGCTTCTTGTGGCCCTCAGACAAATGCCTGCTATTTACTGAGAGTGAACAGAGTTACTCCTCTAGCTCAGGGTCCTCCACACTGAGTAGAAGTGAGTCCCAAACCTCCTGCGTTGGCGTACAGCAAGAGCAAAGGATAACAGATAGAAGGATGTGGCCAGAGTGTGACTGCGTCTCAGAAGGCAGGGGGTTGAGCTTGTTCCTCATCTGGCTAATGAGCTTAGCCTGTAATGCCTCAGATCTGCTAGCAGGCAGAAGTAACTTGGGCTCAGCAACTCAAAGGTATTCATGCACCCAACTCCCATTGAAATGAAATCTCTTTGAGGATCTGGGCCTTGCTAGCTGTGAGCAACATTGTGTTAGTGTAGGCGCAGGGTCCCCTGCAGACTGCAGTGCCCGTCCTGCTCAGCATTTTACACCGTGTACAAGTGCTGCATGCCCCTCTGAGCAGGGCGTAGTTCAGGAGGAGTTCCACTGAGTTTTCATTTCCCTGCAGGCGAGTTTCTGAAGGATTCGGATCGCCATCAAATAAAGTGTTTGGATCGCGAGGCTTCTTTGACCGTGTTGTGTGCTTACAAAGAAGATGAGGGATTCTATACTGTCCGTGTCCCTACACTGGACGGGTACAACGAGCAGAGTGCTTACGTGTTTGTTAGAGGTACCTACAGGTTTCTATCCTTTCAAAGCAAAAGCCCTTTTCTGATCCACTGGGGTGGGAAAATTCACAGCCTCATTCACAATGAAAGGCCTTCCCACACTGCCCCCAACTTGAACCCAGGGGTGACATTTTCAAAAGTGCCTGCGTCCCGTTTGCAATAGTGACTTAGGCACTTGGGATTTTAGGCCCAAATCCTGTTGACTTCCCATTGTGTTTCCTCTGTAGTAATCTGCACTGAACTGAGCATAAAATGGCTGCCTGCCTCTGTGGACAGCAGAGTCCTTAGTGCAGAAAATGGAAAAGAAAGCCTATCTGTTCACCACACACAACACCCTTCCCCCTGTAATTATCAGATGTGGCCTAGGCAGTACTGGAGGTAGAGAATAGATTTCATTTGCTTTTGGAGGGGCAAATCCTGCCCCCTTCTCCACAGCAATGTGGGGTACAAGAAACACTGCAACCAAAGTAGCATAGGACTTGGGGAGCTGTTGCAAGGGGTCTGCATACCATGGAGCTCAGCTCTGCAGCTCCCCTATGCAGTGGGATTTGGGGGCAGGTTTGGGGTGGGTGAGGGGAAAGCAGAGATGACACCAATGCTATGTAAACGCTCTTGCCAGTGATCCCCACAAGGAATGCAGAAGCAGCATGATGTGGCTACATTACCCCGTTGGGCAAAGAATTCCTTCCCTCAGAGAAATGCTCTGTGCCACACGTCTCAGATTTGATGTGGGGAATCCAGTTTAGCCCTTAATGGCCAAACAGAGAATTGACGGTGGGCTTTCAGTAACAAGAGTTACTGAACAGCCATTTACTCAGATTTACAAGACAAGGTCAGGGTTGCTGGACAGTGTCCAGTTCTAACTGCAGAACCTGTTTGCTCTATCAGCATGACAAATCTTTTTCACTCTGATCAGATGCTGGATTATTTTTTTTATATACTGAGTAGGTCAGTTCTTGTTCTTCTCAAGATCTTAAAAAAAATTGACCTTGTTATTAATCTGAAAAGAAATTACTCTTAATATGAATGATTCAGAATTGAATTTGCTAATATTTTCCACTCGTACATTTATTAGGGTCACAGTATAATATAGGAAGCTCCTCCATTGTTGTATTCTGGAGTTATGTCTTCCTTTTAGAGCTCAATACATTTATCTACAGTTTTACAATGTGGATTTTTTCCTGACCATGCAGATCAGACTGTTTTCCCTGCACGCCCAAAGACAACAATGAAACAAGAAAGAATATAGATTAGACTATAAACTGTTTGGGGCAAGGACCATCTTTTTGTTCTGCATTTGTACAGCACTTAGCACCATGGGGCCCTAAGCACTACTGCAATACAAATGAATAAGAAGAGGAAAGAACAGGATGAATATCTCCATGAGAGAGAGCGCAGAGTGTGGGTATCTCCTCTGTTGCAGTCTGCAGCAAGCTGAACACAAAATGGCAGCCTCTCTCTGTAGACAACAGAGTGTTTGGAGACTGAAAGATTCAGAACACAGGTGGAAAAAAACAGTTTAACAGACATTGCTCTATATTCCTTTAGATGCTGCAGCAGCAACAGCCGGTGCACCTGGATCCCCCCTCAACGTGAAATGCCATGATGTAAATAAAGATTGCCTGCTCCTTTCCTGGGTAGCACCCAGCGATAGTGGAGGAAGTCCAATCTTCGGTTATTTTATTGAAAGGTCTGTATGATTATGTTATTGTAGTAAAGTGGTCATGATAGGGTTACCAGGGATACCCAGAGTATTATGGGATGGCACTATGCTCCACTCCTCAATTCCTGTTTAATCAATGGGAGTTTTCTCCCCCCACCCCAATTTTGTTGTGATGCAATTAAATAAAGCAGCAAGATCCCAGCCTGCAGTCCTGTGAGTAGACATATGTTTGTTGCACTGAGCGGTCCCTTTACCAAAGTTATAACCTGCAGAATGCCCGCTGCCACATTCGGGGAACACCATGGAGGTACTGCATGGTCTTGCTTCGTTGCAGGTGCGAGGCGGGCACAGACGAGTGGGTGCCATATAACGAAATGCCTGTGAAGACCTGCAGGTGCCCTGTTTTGTGCCTCATGGAGGGAAAGACATACCAGTTCCGGGTAAAGGCCGTCAACCACTCAGGCATCAGTAACCCTTCCAAGGCCAGCGACCCAGTCACAATGAAAGACCCCAATGAGGAAAAAAGAGTGATGAGTATGTATCAGAAACAGGATATTATTCCTCTATGTGCTCTGTGAGGCTGCGGAAGTAACTCGGGATGACTTATCCAAAGTGCCCTATTCTCACAAACATCACTGCAGCCCCTCTGCTGCAAACATGCCTCCGCCCTGCTGGAATCACCAGCTGAAGTCATTGGTCCGGACTGAAAAAGCTGGAGACAGACTGACCTAAAACACCATTGTCAATTTGTGAACAGCACTGGATAGGCAAAGACTGTGAGCAGATCCTCAGCACATATAAATCATCAGAGCTCCAGGGAAACCAATGAAACCAGGATGATTGACACCACCTGAGTGTCTGCCCCTATCATTCCATGTGTTACTCTCTTACCCAAACAGTGTTCAATCTCTGCTCACACACCCCTGACTGTCTGGAGTGCTTGCAATGGGAAGACAAAAGTGGCAACGGGCAAACTGAATCTGGGCCTAAAATGAGTCTAACTCAAAATGATTATTTTTGTATTTTTAATGTCAAGGAAGTTCCTATAATTTTTTTAATTAGTTTTCAGTTTGTCGCACTTCTCTGGGTACAAACTGGTACAGAAAGGGAGAAGGCCAAACTACCCCAGCGTATGGGCTTTGTGTGCATATAGGGAAACCCAGGATTCTTGTCTCTGTCTTTCCACTAAACTTGTGGCTTTTTCTCCTGGTGAATAATACTGATTTTTTTTAAATCACTAGCCATCCCTTATGATGACGGAAAGAAGATTACAATTTCCAAAGATGAACTGGAAGGTAATTTCAAACTTAAACTTAACCCTCCTTTTATAAACTAATGCTTGTTATAGTACAAGGATGCCAAAATAGTATTTCATAGGACTCTGGGAGGAAATATGCACAGGAAAATGTTTTCTTACACTCCAAGAAAACAGAAGCATTCCAGAATACAAGGCCAGTTTATAATGGAGCCGTTAGATATTGTTAGACTTGTGATTGTGTCAAGCCTAGAGACTTCAGTCTAAGGAGTAGCGTAGAGTTTTTATTAAAAGCAAAAGATTATGGGGTATAATTTCCAGAAGTGCCCAAGTCCCATTTTTAAAAGTGACTAAGGCCCAGATTTTTACAGGTATTTAGGCATTGTTCTGCTCTGCGTTGCAATGCCTAACTGAGTGTTAACCATGGTGTTAGGCTCGCAGATGCTTTTTTAAATCCCACTAGGCACCAAAATACCTTTAAAAATCTGTCCGTAAGTCTCATTTTCAAAAGTGACTTAGGCACTTAGGAACCTAAAAGTCTCATTGAAAGTCAATAGGACTTAGGCGCCTAATTCACTTTTGAAAATGGTATGTAGGGACTTTTGAAAATTTTACTCGTGGAGACAATATTTTCCTCATTTAGTGCAACCCCATTGTGAGGCTGCTGAGGGTTAGAATTCGGCCCAGACACAGCCATCTGGAACTCTGTGTTATCAGCTGAACTCCTGAGAGGGAGTTGTATCTGGAGCTTGAGGAACGTGGCCATAGGATTAAGAAGGACCACAAAGTCTGGTAACGTGCACCGCAAAATCCTCTAGTGTTTTGAAACTGGGTGTAATGGAAAGAGACACTGGCAAAGTAATGTACTCAAAGGTGGACACTGCAGGCCAGATCCTGGGCCCTTTGTACCTCCAGAGCAAGTGAGAGTATGATGACAGCTACGTCCCTTTATTTAAATAAGAAGATGAGAGCAAAGAATTAAATAATTTATCATTAAAAATTATCAGAACATTGACAACCAAATGAATGCATAGGAGGAAGTTTGCCTTCTCTATCCCCAATGCGTGCAAAGGGTTAAAGGCCTCTCCTTTACACCAAAGGAGCTTACCTGATACTGAAAAAGCATAAACATCCCTGTTTAATAGGAGAGTCCTTTCCTGGTATGTTATCACTGAACCAGTATCAAATTCTGGCTTCCCACAGGCAAGATTAAAATTCCTCTGCCACCCACCAACGTTCATGCGAGTGAGATCAGAGAAGATTACGTGGCCCTCTCCTGGGATGAACCAGATCCCAGAGGCAAGGAGCCACTGAGTTATTATGTGGAAAAGGTAAGGAAATAATCTACGGAAGGGTGAATATTACCACTCTGGAGACTGGCAGTGGAATACATCCCCTTTCACCTCTAGGTTACCGCTCAGAGTCCAGCACAGGTCAGTAGTGACAGAATGCTGTTTTGATAGCTTGTCAGTGGTGGGCTGTGTACAATGAGTGGGTGAGTCTCAATTCCTTGAAAACAGGCTTTCCACATCACAAAGGCATTAGCACAACTGGTGCCCTTGAGGGTAGCCTCAGCAGAGAGGCAATGAGGTATGGATGCTGAGCTACGCTCTCTCTCCTAAGCATGGCCAGTCCAGATCTGGAACAAGACACATGGAGAGGGCAGTGTGTGGGGAAACTGCCAGTGCGGTCCATATTGTGTTCGAAATGGCCCTGTCAGCCTTTCACTAGTACTAAATTTACAAGAGCGTAAATCCAGATCCTGATGCCTGGCCCATGATGATGAGCCGACGAGCAGGCGGGGAGGAAGGAATCTTCTTTCCATAGGCCATATGTGGAAGGCTACTCCACCTATATGGATGGAGTAACCTCCATTGGCCCTTACCCAGCCATCAGCAGTAGAGAGGATGGGAGGAACTGCACAGTACCAAACATTCTGGGTTCTCCTCCGTCTCTTCCCTGCTCCTTTCATATCTTACCCCCACATGTCCATTCCCCACCTGCACAGTAGCACTGCACCACCTCTGCTGCAAAGGGGCCCTTTGTGGCTGACGAGGAAGGGGCTAGATTGGCCCCCAAGAAATATTTAGTTCAGGTAAAGAAGATCTTTATTTCTCAAATACAGTACACAGTTACGCTGTCGGATCAGCGAGTAATCGCTCCATACAGTTTTCATCTCTCTGGATTGTAAATTGCCATCTTTTCCTTTCCAGTCCATTGCAGGCAGCAACAGCTGGCAAAATGTCAATCTGGAGACGGCGGTGAATTCCCCAAGATTTGCACTCTTTGATCTTGTGAAAGGAAAATCGTACTGTTTCCGAGTGCGATCTGCTAACAAATACGGAGTAAGCGAGCCGTCCTTGCCCAGTGAGCCCATTACTGCTGGAACAAGATTAGGTAACAATATAAAACGCACTAATAACATGGAAAAGGTGATGCATCATAACACTAGCATTGGCTTATTTTCTCTTTTCTTTGTGCATTGCGGTACATCATTACAGCTCTCACTTGGACTTCAGGAAGTCTCTCAAAGCCTTAAATCCACACTTAATTACATTGCAGTTGTTCAGCACACAGTGTAAATCTAACCAACCAATGAGGCTGGAATTAAAGTTATTAAAAAGAGGAAACTGATCAAGTCCCTATATTCCATTCCAAGCATACTTCTGGAACTTGCTCAAATGCCTCCTGTGTCGTGCATGCTCTAAGACAGATGTAGCACATAGCAGAACAATAAGGAAGGCCACAGCCTCATTCTGCAATGGTGGATGATGGAGTCAGTCTCTGGGGACTCCAGGATGAGCAGCAGCATGACATGGGATGTTTGGTTGGGGGGGATAATTGTGTAATATTTGGGCTGTGATGTCTAGAATATGAGGAGGCAAAGACTCATACCCGTGTTTTCCATGTGTTACGCTAAAGTTAGGCCACTGGGCCTCGTGCTGGCCTTTTTCATTCTCTTGTTTAAAGGTGGCCTGAAGTTCATTCAGGGTGTTCTGTGCCTCTGGCTGCTCCCATCTAGTGTGAACTTTGTATTTTGGCCCCAAAACAGCATGTGGAGTTGGGAATTGGGACCTGATTCTCCTCTGATTTAGGTAGGTGTAAACCCCAGGAGTAACTCCAGTGATATCAATGGAGTTACACGGGTGTGAGAGAAGAATGAGGCCTTATAAATCCAGAGACAGACAGACAGACACACCCACAGGCTGCAATCAGGAGATTGGGTCCAGACACGGTGCTCTGCTTTGGGAAATGATGCCCCGGCCATGCGGATATCAAACATCCCAAGTCACTCCTGGAACTGAGTTACAATTTGTAAATAGAATAAACCTTAAATTGTTCCATTTTTTCCCCTTTTTCAGCACCCCTCCCACCTCCCTCTCAGGTTCTAGCTTTCAGAGACACCAAGACGTCTGTTGTTGTGCATTGGGATAAGCTGAAGGAGGGTCAGGAGCCCCTCGGCTATTACGTATATTGTCGTGAGGTTGGGACAGATGAATGGCAGACTGTCAACAATAAACCCGTGACATGTAACAAGTGAGTTCAGCAATTGACCTCCATTCAGCAAATACGGTGCATTCACTTGGATTTCTGTGTTTATGGTAGGAATGGAGTGCAGATAAAAAAAAGAATTTCCCTATACATACGCGCACACATAGCACACATCTGAAACCTTTGCCTGTTTTTAGAACCGAACCACTGTTCAGGTTCTGGAATGTCCAGATTTAATTTAACATCTGAGGCAAGTTAACATGTGGGGCAGCAAAGTAGCACATGTTTCCATGTGTTGTCAGAGCACAGTCATTACTGGGAAGGTAGATCTCGCAGTGTCTGTGGAACGACAGACCATTTGTATTTGCTCTATGGTAGAACAATGTGTCATCTTTCAAGAATAGGGAGTAAGGGAATCCCTCTTGTTATAGGGCCTGATGTTAATGAAATTAGAAAATGCCTATAATAATACCTAGCTCTTATATAGCACTTTACCAAGTGCTTTATCATTATCCCCATTTTATAGATGGGGAAACTGAGGCACAGGGAGGGGAAAGTGACTTGCACAAGGTCACCAGCAGTCCAGTGGCAGAGTCAGGTCTCCTGAGTCTCAGTCCAGTGGTCTATCCACTAGGCCACACTGCCTCAGAAAGTGCAATTTTGGACAGTGGGCAGGTATGGTCTGAAATAGATGCTTCTCGGGGAATGCGTTTTAGGGGATGCTCAGCACATGCTCAGTCACCCCATGAGTAAAATGCACTGGTGCTCACAAAGGGCAGGTGGCATCAGAGCATAGATACCTGTCAGGCTGAAACTCAATGGGGCCGGATTCTCATTTACACAAAGGTCGCTTCACAGCAGTCTGGCAGCACAAAGAGATCTCAAAGTAAGTGTAAACTTTAAGTCCCCTTTCCATAGGCAGAGCAGTGTAAAGGGACCTTGGTGTGAATGAGACTCTGATCCAATAAGAAGAGCTAGGAGACAAGTCATTAAACACGCTCTCTTTCCAAGTTTGCCCTGGTGCAGAAGGCCTTCACTAAAGTGTCTTTTATCGGGTCCAGATGTTGAGAGGTACTGAATGTCCACAACTCCCATTGATTTCATTGGGAATAGAGGTGCCTAAAGTCAGCTGAGTAACTCTCAAGATCTGACCCCTATTTACTGATTGTTCAATAGGTATCACTTGTGGGAGTCAATGCGCTTTAAGCTATAGGGGTAAATAACCACGTGACACAGAAATAAATTGTAGCACGCTGATAAAATTATTGAAATGCCGTTTTTTTTCCAAAGGGCTCTTTGCCTTACTTTGAACAGCTATGTGCAAGCAAATTAATGATCTCTCATAGGTTTACTGTTCCAGGGCTCCAGCCTGGGAAGGAGTATGTATTTTGCGTGAAATCTGTCAATGAAGCAGGAGTGGGTGACAGCTCACCAGAATCTGACCCCATCATTGTGAGGCCGGCTATCTGTAAGTATTGCATTGCACATGCACACGCACACATACAGAAAACTAGCTCCCTCATCAGAGTATCTTTTATGCACAGCTGGGTCTAGCCACTTGCAAATGATCCCACCCCAGGCAGCTAGAGGTAGAGGGGGCTTCATTCTCTCCTGCCTTGCAGCTTGTCTCATCATTTGCACTTGTGCAAAGTGGCTGTAGAACGTTCTCGCTCTGATTTGTTAGTGTTTCACATTGCATTGAATGCATTTGGCACAGGTAAGTGACCACACAAAATGCAAGAGAGCAGAGAATCTGGTTCAGTATCTTCCACTTCTCCGGTGCAGACCCCATTAGTAGCCTCCCAGCAGTCACGTCATGCGCTGTCATCGTTCTCCATTATCTCACACTGCTGCCTTCACCCCATCCTCTCTTGCATCTGCCCTGCACCAGTTAAAACTATAAAGCTCTGAAACACCCAGGAGTTTTCCCACAATTTAAATGAAAATCAGGCCCATCTGAAGGCCCCTTTACATTGCCAGAGTAGTGTAAAGGGGCCTTAGTGCAAATGAAAATCAAGCCTGGTGTGAACATGCATGGCACAGATAAGTCACTCTAACTGATTCAACATCAACAGCTCTTTTCTGGATCGCCAGCAGGATCCCAAATCTATGTCATACAATATCTATTTTCCTCTCTCTCTCTTTGTCCTCACCATTAGCTCGTCCATCAGCCCCACGTGATTTTGCCCTGCTGAGCTGTGGGAAGAACGACATGACTATTGGGTGGAAAGCCCCAAAGCGCAAAGGAGGAGGAAAGATTCTGGGCTACTTCCTGGATCAGCATGATGCTGCTGAGCTAGACTGGCATGAAGTCAACATCAGACCTATGGCTCAACGAGTTTACAAGGTATTGATTTCATAATGCAATACTGCATTTCTGTGTGAGGCAGTGGAAATGGTGGCTATATGAAGAGGTGAGCCATTTTCCTCCTCCAGCCTTGACCCTTCTGTAGCCCAGACTCCCTCCCCATCTTGCTCTTTCCCTGTTCTTCATCCCACACCTTTGAGTGTCCCCAGTAAGTCTGACAACTTCTCTGCTGGACCTTGGGGATGCAATTCAGTTCAAGTTTGTCCCACATTCTGATGCCCAGTGCATTCTCGGGCTGTTTGGAGAGTTCTGAGTAATACAAAGTTGCTGCTATTTCTAATTCTTCATAATTCAGCATCAAACGTGTCCCTTACTAATTATTCTACGGGGTTACTAAGAGCCTGTGAGGTCTCATTCCGGCTCAACAGAAAGAGCAATCAAACCCTTTATGGCATGGGGTGTGGGGGCTACCACCCGAGGACCTAGGCCATACAGTAGGTCAGAGCTCAGCTGTGTGGACTGAAGAGCTTCCCTGTATGCAAGGTGTAGGATATCTGTTGCAGGCTGCGTGTGTTAGAGCAGAAAGCCAGGAGAAGCAGCTGTAAGTGTGACTTGAAGCGGAAGTAGAGGGACATGGCTCCTTGGGCACCGAGCTGGCAGGAGTGGCAGACCTAGGAATTTCTGAGCAAAGAAACGGCCTGCTGTGGTTTGTTCCTACTTTGTTCAGGGAAACAAGACGTAAATACCAGATTACACCAAGACTACACCTGACTTGTATCACTCATTCCTCCTCCTAACAGAAACAACCCTGCAAGACCCCAAATTTTGGCTAACCACTCGGGCCAAAGGGGCAAAAGTATGTTTTAAGGGTATCTTAATTGGCAGGTTGCTCTTTTCTTTCCTAATACAATGTGTACGCAGGATGTTTTTAACAGATGCATTGAATTATCTACAAAAACTCTTTGTTAATAGGTTGGGAGGGGATTTTATAAGTCCTTTCCATGCCATCCTAAAAACATGCCCTTAAAGATCCATGCCCATGAGAGCAGGGGACTGGACTCGATGACTTCTCGAGGTCTCTTCCAGTCCTAGAATCTATGAATCCCAGTTACAAACACACCGTACAATACAAGGCTATGCTAATAATCTCTTTGTTTCTGACCTCAAAGGTTACCAACCTCAATGAAGGACATTTCTATGAGTTCCGTGCTTGTGCGACTAACATGGCGGGAGTGGGGAAAGTATCTGAACCCAGTGACTTGTTCAAGTGTGAGGAATGGACGATGCCACAGCCAGGTAAGGACAACATATCAGCAACAGCCAGAAAACAATTCCAGGGACATTAACTATCCCCCTTTCATAAGATAAACTGACTTACTCTTCTGTGATGATATGAGATATTTGGAAAACTGTGGATTTGGTCATATTGATGAGCTCCGGTAAGAACCCTGGATCCAAACACACCAAACTTTGGGGAAGTTTGGATCAGGAGCCATATTGTGATCTGTATAGCAGACAGAACCAGAAGCCCTGATCAGAGCTTGTGATAAATAAAGGGGAGGGAGGTAGCTCCTCTTGATGGACACCCAGCCAGCTGTTCTTTACAGGTAAAGCAAATAAAGAACAGCTCCCAAGACAGATTTTACAGCTAACTGGCTGGCTGGCTGTCCATCAAAGGGAGCTACCTCCTCCCTACCCCCCTTTATTTATCACAGAGTTCCTTCCACATTTTGGGAAGGCTGGGGTTGGAATCTGTGCCAGAATTTTGCAGCTTGGGCCCATCTCCCAGTCATGCAGGTGACTTGGGAATCTGAATCCCTTTCACTAAAATGTTAGCGTACATGTCACCAGGCAAGGAGATACAAACTGTGCTGGTCCTGGAGAAGCACCTCTTACCTCATGCAAAGAGGGGCAGCTCCATATGGCCCGTTACCTTTGGGCCCTCTGTTTCCTGGGACTGTATTAAAGGAACACAGGAAAAAGAAAAGTAATCTGCTACAAAATAAAGCAGGCACCTCAGGCGCTGAGATCTCTTCCTCAGAGCACGAGAAGAAGCTCTATGGGACAAGGATCATCTTTTTGTTCTGTTTGTACAGCTGGTCCATGACGGTGCTACAGTAATACAGATAATAAAGAAGAAGAAGGATCATTGCTACACTATGCCATGTAGCCAGTTGAGAGCCCTATGCTCTGGAATCCTGTTGCCAGAGAATGGGAAACCCTGATGCACTATGTAAAGCTCTCTGTATGTTACATCATTATAAACAACGTTAAATAGGACAACGTGGCCACTTTCATACAAATCCTGCTGGAGGAAGGACCTCTTCTGAGCCCACCATTCATTCGTTGCCCTCAACCCTGCGATCTGAGGCTCACACCAGAGGCACGTTACTGCATCATCTGTTCTGATGTCCCTATTTGACAGTCTACCCTTCTTCCAAACAGGCCCCCCCTATGATGTGAGGTTCACTGAGGTGCGGGACGCAAACCTGATGCTGCACTGGGAAGCACCGTTGTATACAGGAGCAGGTCCAGTCACTGGATATTACATTGATGTCTGCGAAGAGGGGTCAGAGGAATGGAAGCAACTAAATAAGCAGCCGACAGCCAGCACCCACATGAGGGTTTGTATATAAGCCTAGCAGGCAAGCATTCCTTATTATTTAGCATGGTGTTAATTTGTTACACTGGGTTTCTGCAGGCTTCTGACCTGGAGATGGGGAAATGCTACATTTTCCGAGTACGGGCATTGAACAAAGCAGGGATTGGTCCACCTTCCATCCCCTCGGATCCTGTGGTGGTTGAAACCAAACCAGGTATGAGCCTAAGAGTGAACAAATAAAACAGAAAATATCATAATGCCACTATATAAATCCATGGTATGCCCACACCTTGAATACTGCTTGTGGTTCTGGTCACCATAATCTCAAAAAAGATATATTAGAATTGGAAAAGGTGCAGAGAAGGTCAACAAAAATGATTAGGGGTGTGGAATACAGCTTCCATAGGAATAGATTAAAAATACTGGGACTGTTCATCTTAGAAAAGAGACAAGTAAGGGGAATATATGATAGAGGTCTATAAAATCGTGAAAGTGGAGAAAGTGAATAAAAAAGTGTTACTTACTCCCTCACATAACACAAGAACTAGGGAGTCACCCAAAGAAATTAATAGGCATCAGGTTTAAAACAAAAAAAGAAAGTACTTCTTCACACAATGTGTGGAACTCATTGCCATGGGATGTTGTGAAAGCCAAAAGTTTAGCTGGGTTCAAAAAAGAATTAGATAAGTTCCTGAAGGATAGGTCCACCAATGGCTATTAGCCAAGATGGTCAGGGACCCCATTCTCTGGGTATCCCTAAAGCTCCAAATGCTAGAAGCTGGAACTGGATGACAGGGGATGGGTCATTGAAAACTGCCCTGTTCTGTTCATTCCCTCTGAAGCATCTGGCACTGGCCACTGTCAGAAGACAGGATACTGGGCTAGATGGACTGTTGGTCTGACCCAGTATGGCCATTATGTTCTTATTTAACAACCTCCCTTGGAAGCCTATCCCAGTGCTTAACTATCTTTATAATTAGAAAGTTTTTTCCTAATGTTTCCAAAATTTTGTTTCTCTTATGCAGGCATAAATGAGATTGAACTGGGAGTGGACAAAGAGGGCTTTCTTTACATGGCCTTTGAAACTCCTGATATGTGTGACTCTTCTGAATTTATCTGGTCAAAGGATTATGAGGGACCTCCAGATCCTAATCGAGTCAGAACTGAAGATAAAGGCAACAAGTAAGTGGGCAGGGCACATTGGGAAAATGAGCATTGGAAGGTGGGGCAGATGGCTGTTTACACACTAAACCTGGGAAAAACATCAAGACAAAATATTTTCCAGAGAAACCATGGAAAGCAAAGCTTTCAACCCCCCAACCCAAACATTCAACCTCTCCGTTAGAGATGGCTGAAGAACCAGTATGGAAAATGTAAGATCCTTCCTCTCGCCCTTCAAACCTCAGATAAACATTTGCACTTTTATGACACATCTGAAAATGAACCCAAACTCCCAATCTCATTAGGAACTCCAGACAACACTGCTGATGTTACACCAGGGATGAATTTGGCCCATTGCTTCTATTTCCCAAGCAAATCTGGACCACTGTCCTGACTTCCAAATGCAGAGGCCATGATGTGTGGAGCTCAGTTAGGCCTTGAGCATCACAGAAAGGAAGAATCAGAGTTGTTCTTTTGCTGAGGCTTTCAGACATTTTGGCTGTGCTACCCTGTACAAGTCTCAGCCGAGGTTCGACCCTCAGCGGAGCTGTGGGGTATCCCACCGCCTCGCTCTGGTCCGCCGTCAGTCCTGGTCCGGCGGTAGTGTGGCCCAGGCCCTAGGTCAGGGCGGGGCAGCAATCAAATAGTCAGGAACTCAGGCCCTTAAACAGGGGCTGAGTCAATGAGCGAGAGGTCCCAGCCTCTCTAAGCCAGGGAAAGGGGGAGTCTGCCACCCAAGGAGTCGGTGGCGGGGGGACGCAGGCCCTCCCACTCCACTGCGTCCCATCCCAGGGCCCTAGCAGCAGCGGAAACTCGCTGCTGTCAGTGGGGATCCTGGCCGCAACACACTGACATAGGCTCTGGCAGTGTTGCAGCCAGACCGGAGTTGGCTGCCCCCGGGCTACTTCCACACTCCCCCTCGTAGGGTACCTGGGCCGTACTAGTGTCCTCGGTGGTCTCCACCAGCATCGGTTCCTCCGGGTAGGTAGCGAAGGGTAGGTTTGGCTCCTCCTCGGGATAGCTGGAAAGGGGCCGGCTCAGCTCCTCCTCGGGGTAGCTGGAAAGGGGCAGGCTCGGCCAGTCCTCCTCGGGGTAACGGGTGAGGGGTAGGCTCGGCTGGCCTGGTAAGTCCTCAGGCTGGTCGTGGCCTGCTGCTGTCTCCCAAGCGGAAGCTCGGCCACAGACGTCTGCTCTCTCCGGTGGCTTGTTGTCCACTGAGCTCTGCAGGCGGGCTTTTATACTTCCGGGTCGGCGCCGTGACCTCTGAGGGGCGGGCGCCAGACCCAGTGGCTCCGCTCACGTTGGTGTTAGGAGAGGTTCGGCCCTCAGCGGGGCTGTGGGGTATCCCACCGCCTCGCTACATACCCCCACTGTTGCATTCAAATTACTACATGTTTGCTCCTCTAGAGTTACAAACTTTGTTGCATTCTTCTCTCAAATAACCCCATTTTAGACAGAACCCTAATGTGTTTCTTTTTCTTCTTTAAGATCTAAGCTCATACTGAAAAATGCATCAGAAAAGGATCTGGGGACATATTCAGTGGAGGTAACTGATGTAGATGATGAAATCTCCGCCAGCCATACTTTAACCCAGGAAGGTAAAAATCCATAATTACAAAAATCTTCCTGTGTGCTGTAATTTGTTAATTCCGAATGGCTGGGCAAAAGCTCTTCCCAGACCTTTAGGAGTTGAAGTGGTGCCATATAATAGCAACAGAAAGGAGATTTCCTATCTTTTAAATGGCCAGATGTGACTGATTACTTCTACAGTATGAGAACTTGAAGGTCATGACATACGGCATCAGAAAGGAAATGTTCTCATAGCCTCAGGGCTTGGCTACACTTAAAATGCTGCAGTGCCACAGCCACTACCTACGCCAACAGGAGAACCCCTCCCATCAGCGTAGCTAATCCACCTCCTTGAGAGGCAGTAGCTAGGTCGATAGAAGAATTCCTCTGTCGACCTAGTGCTGTCTACGTGGGGATTTAGCTTGTCTTAATAACACTGCTCAGGGATGTGGATATTTCAAACATCTGGCCAACATAGATAAACCGACCTAATTTTCTAGTGTAGACTAGGCCTCAGAGTTTTGCATATTACCTCAAAATTACTGTAATTTAGGCTTTTTTTTAAAGCTGTTTCTCTAACTGATGTCGTCAGTATTGGATATTATTTTCCCAGCTTCTTCTAATCCCTTCAGCTATAACTTGTTTTGTACTTGTTAAGGACTACTTGACCTGGATGATGAAGGGTCTGTTAACAAGATAAATTGATAATGAGTTTTGGTTTCAGTTTGGCTTTACTGATCTAAGTCCTGTGCTGTTCTTTGCATTTTCAGAACTGGACAATTTGCGGAAAATTAGTCATGAAATCAGAAACCCATGTAAGTTGAACTAGTGGCAACTGGCATTTGGGACCAGCATACACAGACTTTCCTGGGAACTGTGGGAAGACTTTTGTGTGCCAGTGACCCTTGGAGCTATGACAGCAGGAGTTTGAGCTCTTGGTAGGGCCAACCAAGCTGGACAGGTCAACCGGGGGGGACCAGACGAAGAGCCATCCATTGGCCCTCCAGGCTGGGGGTTAAATAATAGGCCAACAACCTAGCCTCATATAAAGGCTAAGTTATGGAAAGACAATACGGTAGTCATTCCAGCAAAGAACATGATAGACAGGGATGGAGGAGCCTTGTTCGTGCCCAGAGTGACATCTGGTAGCACGGGAAGGATTCAGATTCAGATATAATGCATAGTAAGGGTGAAATCCTGACCTCATTGAGATCAATATCTAAACTCCGACTGATACCAATTGGATCAGGATTTTATCCTAAATCCTCAACCTTGACCAGCCACATTCCCTCTCCTTCCAGTGATTGAGCTGATCTCTGGGTGGAACATCGATGTCCTTGAGAAAGGAGAAGTGCGTCTGTGGCTGGAGGTGGAAAAGCTGTCGCCAGAGGCAGAGCTGCATTTAATCTTCAACGGGAAGGAGCTTTCAAGCACTCCGGTACGTGTGTTGCTTCTAAACTCCCAATGTGTGCGTAACTTCCTCTGACCCGTCTTCACAATGGGCTAGACTGGCTCTATGAAACCAAAGCTCAGATGAGATCATTGATTCAGAAGCCATTGTTTCCCATCACGTATTTTTATGCTTCTTTTCAAAGACTCTGGGCTTGATTCCACACCGTGCCCCAGCAGAGCTCCGGTGGTCTGACAGAGAGCCAGTCACTGCTCCCGGATTCTCAGCTGTCAAGTCCCAGCATTAGTTAAAGCTGCTGATGTAACGTCCCTTGGGCATCTTGTGCCAGCAGAGAACTGAGCATGACAGAACCTCACTCCACCCTGACCCCTTCCCATCCCCATTCCTGACACACACCCTACCTCCCCTTATGCTGAGAAGGGGGTTGGGAGCAGCGATGAAGAATATGTCACGGTCAGGCAGCAGAGCCACCTCTATCAGCTTTGCACTAGCAGACCTTCTCCCCGAACAGGGGGGCTCTCCAGGGGCAATCTCCAACCATTTTAAGTTCACTTTACATGATAAGCGAGCTTGGTGCACCAAAGAATCCAATCCCCCATGAGTAATTTAGCCCTGGTCTGAGCATGTGCTAAGAAATACTGTCTTTGCCAGTTAGATGAGGGGGAGGGTTAATGCTGCCCCTTCTGTCCTACCCAGCAAGCCTGGCTGGTTTTCACACCCGTCTTTGAGTTGGCTGTGTATAAATCTTCTGGCTTTTGAGAGCAGATGCATGCAACCCATTTCCAAATTGCAGACATTGAAAATAACATTGCATCGTGTGTCACAAAGTACTCTTGCATTGTTGTACATTTAAAAGAACATATTAACCCCGTTTTGGCCCTCCCATCCCAGAACCTAATGCTATATATGGTTTAAAAAGTATTTACTCTGGGGGACTGGACGGTTCAGAATTAAGAAAAGAATAATGGAACTATTCACCTGTGGTTCAAATGCAGTCTAACAATGTCAAAATAACAAAGTCATGGGTGTTTTGTGATCGGCAAAATCTGAAGCCTCTCCTAGCCTTTGTTGCCATGTGTTCTCCAGAGACAGAAAGTGTCTAGCAACATTCTTTGAGGCTTTCCTTATGCAATCACTATCTTTTCTCGACTGTATGATTTATGTGGTAATGCATGATTAAACAGTGCATGTCAAGCTCTTTGTATTGCTAATATTTGCTTGCAGCAAACAGGTTGGCCACGACTAATGATGACAGCTAACATTTTTGAAAGTCTGATGGATTTAAGGGGGTGTGTATATAAAAGTTCATGGTATATTAGTGAGTGCACAGTGCCATGAGGTGGATGTGTTACCCTAACTACCTCCCAGAGGCATGACTACTTGCAACACATGGCTGCTGCTTTCAAGAGCACTTTTTCATTACATAAAAATCCATGTGATTGCACAGAATCCTGGCGAGTTGGAAGGTTTAATACGCAGCAAGGGAGAATCTATTGTACCATGTGTTACAGTGGAAACCTCTTAGGCTGTGTTCTCCGCAGAAACAACCTGCCACAAGCAGGTTCCCCTGCATTGATGTGCAAACCCAGTACACAAATGCAAATGGACTTTTTAACAGAAAACAAAATTCATTTGGGAGTCAAATCCTGGACCATGATTACACCAGAGTAAGGGATGGCCATGGGGAGGGAGAGGGTTTGTTTACTCCATTGTAGCCCTGGGTGTGTCTACACTGCAAAAAAAGGTACATTTTTAACTTGGGTTAAAATAGCAATGAAAACATGGAAACTCGACTTCTAACTTGGGTTAGCAACTCGAGTTCTACCCCAGACTCCCTTGCAGGGTTTCACTTGAGCTGCTAACTCAAGTTAAGAACCACGCTGCCATGTCTTCACTGCTATTTTTACCCAAGTTAGCAAACCTGAGTTAAGAATACACCTTTTATAGGCAGTGCAGATATACCACAGGTAGCCAGGGGAAATATACCAGGGTGCTCTACAGGTGTAGAGCGAAGCTAAGATCTGTAGCTCCAGCCAGGCTCTATGCTGAAGAAGCCATGGGGCCAGGATTTGGTGCTGGAATAATTTCCCTATGAAAAATGACCAATTTACCACCAATACTTTGTTTTACATAGACACATAAGATAAACTTTGACAGAGCAAACGGCCTCATAGAACTAATAATCCAGGACTTCTGTGATGACGACAAGGGGACATACACAGCCCAGCTGCAAGACGGAAAAGCTAAAAACCAGTTCACTCTGGCTCTCGTTGATGACAGTAAGTAGAGATTCAGGGCTTAATCCAAAGCCCGCTGAACTCAGTGGGAGTTTTTCTACTGACTTCAGTAGGTTTTGGATCGGACCCTTAGAGAGAGTGCCAGCTAATGACCACAAATGGTTTCCCACAGTTATATTGTGGGTAGTGATTGAAGGTATCAAGTATTTATTTTAATGCATTTATTCAATGGCCAGGAATCAGTCTTCCTGTAGAAACTATCTGAATGGCTCTTTAGCACAGATCCAAGCCTTTGGTTTTACATCTGGAGTCCTGGATAATAATCTTTGGCCCTGATAGAGCATCACAGCCATGGATCTGTGTTCATATATTTTCTTCTTTATTTGCTGTATACACATAATTCCCTCACAACAAACTATGCATTGACACACAGAGCTTGATGGTGTGTACTGTGATGTTTAGTCATTTTATCTTATCATAACATTGGCCTGAAAATTCAAGGACTTTAACAACTAAATTTGAATAATAAAGAAACTGCAGTGAATAGAGAAAGTCCATATGGCTCTGTAAGGTGAACAGTAAGGTGAACAGATAGGCCCATATATGCTAATGTACAGAAACATTTTGGCTCTTTACGAACAGAAAGTTGCCGTTTTTCCAGTCTAAATTCTTCCCTAAATAATACTGTAGCTTTATTTGACAGTTCTCATTTTTAAACAGTTTGGCAATTGTTCTTAATCTTATTGGGTTGAGTCTCTTGATGCCTGAAACTGTATTTCTAATACTTCTCCCTTGAAAAGTTGCAAATTCAAGGACTCAATCCTGCATTCTTTGCATACCCCAGAAAACTCCTATTTAAACCGATGGGAGCTTCCAATGCCTAAAGATCAGCTCTTAAAAGCAAATTCACTGTATTTTCTTGAAAATAAATATTACATTCTGAGCTGCTAGCAGCATGAAAGGCTAATAGAGCTGACCTTACCAAGGATTCTATACTGAAGAACAGAGTTTAACTGAGGCTGGAGAGATGGCTCTTAGAGATACACTGTATGTGTTTTAGAGTAACATCCTTCCTGGTTAGGAATCTATACCATGTTACAGGGAGAGGGGTTGTAATAGTTGTTTCAATGACCTTTTGTTGACTCTGATCTGTCACTGTTTGTTCTTTCAGGTTTTGATAAAGTTGAGGCGGAGGCTGCTGCTAAGCGGAGAGACTGGAGGAGAAAGCAAGGTAAGATAGCCTCAAGGTCACTGACTTTGCCAGGACTGGTGAAAAGTTGGTGAAAGCTCAAACAAGGATATTCTACTGAGCACCCAAACAATAAGTGAAAAATAAATTGCTCTCTTCAGTATACTCTTATTTAAACTGCTTGCTGGACTAAGATAGAGCATTTTATTTTAGGTTACTGTTTTCTGGCTATTAAAAATCAAATCAAATCAGTTTGATTTGGTTTAATAGTTCAAGGCATGTGAACAGCTGTCTCTGGTAGAGGGGCCCTGAACCAACACCCTGACTCTGAACATGCCTGAGTTTCAGAAAAGGTCCAATCCAGATGGGACTCAGGGCCATCTCTATCTCCTGGTGGAAAGCAGAGAATGTGGAAATCTTCAATGTCAATGGGAGCAGTACATTCCCCTGTCTCCCTCCCCTACCTTGTGGCTGATGTATGAATAATAGTATAAAAAAGCCTTTTTCAGGGAAAAGAGTAGCTGATTGATAGATTCCAAGTCCAGAGAGACCTTTGTGATCATCTAGTCTGGCCTGCTGAATAACACAAGCTATATAGAACTTCCCCAAAATGATCCGTAGAGCAGATCTTTTAGAAAAACATCCAATCTTGATTTTAAAAGTGTCAGTGATGGGGAATCCACCACAACCCTTGATAAATTGTTCCAATAGTTAATTGCTCTCACCATTAAAAATTTACACCTTATTTCCAGTCTGAATTTGTCTAGTTTCAACTTCCAGATATTGGACCGAGTTATACCTTTCTCTGCTAGACTGAAGAGCCCATTATTAAATATTTGTTTCCCATGTAGGTACTTATAGACTGTAATCAAGTCACCCCTTAACCTTCTCTTTGTTAAGATAAACAGATTGAGCTCCTTCAGTTCATCACTGTAAAGCAGGTTTTCTAATCCTTTAGTCATTATCATGTCTCTTCTCTGAACCCTCTCCAATTAGTCAACATCCTTCTTGAATTGTGGGCACCAGAACCAGATTAAAAATGGACAGATCAATTTGCCTTTTAATTGGGCTCACAGATAGTTCATATCAGGAGAGCAGACTGGAATATATACACATTATCTATTCCATTGCCCTCCACCTGCAGAATATCCATAATCTTTCAATATTGACCTGACACTCTACCCAATCACTAAATCAAAGGAATAATTGGAGAGCATAATCTACCAGCATATTAAGAAAAGACCTGTTAGTCACTATAAGAACTGTTGCCCTCAGGAACTTTTTTAAATGATACATCTAACATTATGGTGCCTACTGCATATAAAATACAAGTTCCATAAAATTGGAACATGGAAGAGTTAATACAAGGAGGACAGTGCTGCGATTTACCACTAGATGGAGCCATTGCATGGTATAATATTAAAAGCAGACCTGCAGGAAAGACCAGAAAGACTGTTTTTTTGTTTTGTTTTTTGACTTGTAGGTCCTCATTTTATAGAGAATTTGCAATGGAAGGTTACTGAGAATTGTGAAGTTCTGCTGACGTGCAAGGTAAGTATTACCATACAGTTGTTACTGTGTATAGTAGCATCCATCTATTGTTAATATATATGTGCATTTTAAGGAGACTGCATAAATAACGCTAGCTCTAACCAATTGATATTTGCCTACTGATAAAAGGCAAGATCCTGGAAGTAAATCCTAACAGCTGTGGAAAACAAGAGGGAAAGCGTCACCTAATACTGAGGGAATCCCCTGGGACAGCTGAAGTCTCATAATTAGAAAGATATCCTTGCATTCAAAAAGATCAGTATTCTGATTGCTAAATCTTTACTTCAAACAGGCAACAAACATGAAAAAAGATACCAACTTTAAATGGTTCTTGGATAAAAAAGCACGTTTGGATGGTCTGTATGATCCGCAGACTGGGGCTGGAACTCTTCGGATTAAAAAGGTGAAAAACATAATGCAACTTGGGGGCATTTGTGATATTATTTCAACATGCAGTAAATGTGGGTAGATATTACTAAGATATTAATTAATTATTATTATTATTATTATTATTAGCATTTACTGTTTGTTTCTGGCAGTACCCACAGTGTGCTAGGCACTCTTCAAATACAGAAGAAAGCATGAAACAAAAACAAAGGCTGGAAGATAAAGCCAGAGAAATTCAAATTAGAAATAAGGCCCATATTTTTAACAGTGAGAGTGATTAGCCATTGGAACAAACTCCCAAGAAAAGTGGTGGATTCTCCTTCTCTTGAAGTCTTCAGATCAAGACTGGATGTTTTTCTGTGAGAGGCTTTGGTCAAACACAAGTTATTGGGCTCAATACAGGAGTAACTGGTTGAAATTATATGGCCTGTGATCTGCAGGAGCTCACTCTAGCTGATGTAATTGTCCTTTTGCCCTTAAAAATCAATGAATCCTTGACACACAGAGCATCAACAGGTGAATGAAGGGGGCTCTGTGGTAGAGTTAATGAACTAGAGTTTTGTCTACAAAAACAACAAGGAATCTGGTGGCACCTTAAAGACTAACGGATTTATTTGGGCATAAGCTTTCATGGGTAAAAACCTCACTTCTTCAGATGCATAGAGTGAAAGTTACAGATGCAGGCATTATATACTGACACATGGAGAGCAGGGAGTTACCTCGCAAGTGGAGAACCAGTGTTGAGTTTTGTCTGTGCAGAGTTAGTTTAAATACTTCTTGGTCTCAGTTTTTCAATTTAATTTCAAATCAACAATTTCCATATAAAAAAACCAGTATATTCATCAGTGTGAGTGGCAATCTCTGCTCAGATGAGACCCAGGACCATCAATACACATCACTCCTGCAGGTTGAGATTGATGTGTATCAGTACAGCTGTATAGGGGAAGCTTGCAAGGGGCTGCTTTCATTCTAGTCAATACTGTTGTTAACTCACCAAATTCACCCAAATGACAGGGGGAAATTCACCAGTACATTACAAACAGAGCTCTGATCTCACCAGCCCCAAACTGTCCCATACTTTAGTGATCTGTGAAATTTCCATTTTAAAATATTTTGCCAGATTACCAAAGAGGATAAAGGAATATACAAAGCGGTTGTTTCTGATGACCGAGGAGAAGACATTACTGAACTTGATCTCAGTAAGGAAGGTAGGATGATTTCATACTAATAGGCAATATGTTACACTTTTATATATATGTGATCAGGCTTTCAATACAGCTTTAAAATTACACTTTCTACCTATTTTAAGTGTTTTCTATAGTACTCATTATTTTAATATATAAATGCTTCCTAATGTAATCAGGTCTACATTATGAGATCTCTAGTGGACTTCGAGAGTTTTCTACTCTTTTCTCTTCTCTGGTACAGAAGGCTATGTTATACCTTATACATGTATATTGTACATTTCAAGAATAAGAAGTATTTAAAAGTGGGATTAGGATCAGAAAATGTACCAGGTACAAACAGCCCCTTTTTACTCACTGTGGTCCTGATCCAAAGCCCACTGAAGTCAATGGATCAGATCCCATGGCTATTCCCTGCATGTGTCTCTGTCATATCTCAATTAATGACTGACATACGCAAGTTTTAACTCCTGCTAGCTTTGCAGATCCTCAAAAGAGAGGGAAGAGCAAACTGGGTACTGTTTTCCATTGTGCACCCTCAACAAAACTGAGTTCTGATTGCAGAATCTTTAGTACCAATGATGTCAGATGCAAAAAGGACACTTTTACTTTCAACCCCGTTTTAATTTGCAGTGCTGTGAATTCTTCTGGAAGTTAGAGAGGGCATAAATAATGACAATCCTCCCAATGTCTTCCATACAGTCATTTTTCAAACCATGACCGCGCTATAAAACCTCTCGAGCAGCGGGGACAGAAGGGGTGAAACTCAAAGGTGTTCTGAGCATTTAAACTCAGCAGGAATCAGGAGACTCTTTTCCGCAGGCTTTAAACTCTGCAATGTCATTTGGCATCTATCATTTAACCCTGATAGGTGAATTTGTATCCCATGTGAGATACATCACTGTGTACGCTGAATGTTAAGGAAGCTGACCGCTTCTGAATAAAGTAAGATATGTCCAACATGTAGAAATAAATGAGTCAATGGCAAAAACTTTATAGCCAGTGAAGTTTACCAATAGGAAAACACAACAAAATAACTACCATACACTGTAGGTTTTATGATCTGAAGAGGCTGTTGGTGAATCAGATGCAAATTGCTAGCGAATGTATTTATGGCTGATTGAAGCTTCTTCCTCTGTGTGTAGGGTTTGAAGACATTCTTAAAGAGCTCTGCAGGGTTAGTGGTAAGTCTGTTTCTCATCTGCTTCATACTGTAAAAATAATACTTAGCAGAGGTATGTAACTATTATCCCTATTGTACAGATGGGGAAACTGAGGCAGAGGGAGGCAAAGTGATTTGCCTATGGTGGGAGAAAGCTGGTCTCAGGGCTGGGATTGTCCTTTGTTCAGATCAAGAGGCCACTCCTTTTTCTCTGAAGTAAAACTCCTCTATGTTGTAAAGGTAGCCAATGGGGAAGTAAAGTGAATGGGGAACAGGAGGCATTTAGACTCTGCTGTGGGTTTAGGGGGATTTGGGGAATTGAAGTGTGGGGAGAACAGTCAGTAAACAGCTGGAAATGAGAGGAAGGGGAAGAGAAGTGAGCTGAAGGCAGGGCTGCTGCAGCGGGAGAGAGAGGAGTTAAATATATTCTACTCCTGTCTTTCACCTTAGAAACCTGATCATCCCTGAAGGGCAGGAAATGTTCTCTCTTTAACTCTTGCTATGATTTGTTATTTCTGCCCAGACACCTGCATTTGTCACATTCTAATATCAAAGTGAGTTGAGACCTAAGTCTCTCTGGCCCTGTCTATAGTAGGGAATGTGCCCACTGCTGACAATGGGTGCAGCTGGCCTAGTGCTGAACGCACGTTAACAGCACGTGTAGACCAGAACAAATCCCGTTCAGAAAGCATAGTTAAACCCTGCACAGAGCAGGCCTAGATGACGTGGTGGTAAAAATGTTATTCTACCTCCATCATTGGTGGCTGCCCCAATATTAGAACAATGGAAGGTGAATTTGAGAGAAGGCCCTAATGTGTCTATGGGACCTCCTATACTTAGGATCCAGGCCTCCAGGGAAGTATGCACATTTCTGCTGGGTGGAAGACGTAGAGCCTTCATGTGCTGGAACGCAGTTGCTTTCAGCTGCCCATGTTCTTCAAACTGGGTGAAACATTAGGTTCTTTAAAAATATATATATATATAGCCAGTATATAGACTGGCTGGTCACCCAGTGAAATTCTAGTCTTTGAATTCTCTTCTTAGCCCTTTCTGCTAAACCTCTGAAAGTCCAGCCAACTGCAGAAGGCATCAGAATCTACAGTGAGGTGAAGTACTACACCGACTACATGAAAACAACCTGGTATCACAAGTATGTACTTCAGATATGCTAGCAAGGCTCATAACATATGGACAGTCTGTATTATCTGCCATGGAAATTAAAGCGCATTGGCTGAGATCCTCCAAGTATGTAGGCGCCTAACGTTCACTGAAATCAATGGGAGTTAGGGGCCTAAATACCTTTGAGGATTTGGGCCCTTGTGCCCAAACCTGCACTCCTTGAAGACAATGGGGGATTCGTCTGAATGAGGATTGCAGGATTGGGGGGATAAGGGGTTTTACGTTCAACTGTCTCTTTACATTGAATCGCGTGTGGGAACTCGTCAGTTACCAATCATGTTCTATTTATTTTCTGCTGCACAAGTACTCCTGGGTGACGATTTCACTGGTGTGATAATGATACTATCAAATGACAGCTCAGCTACAGACATGGGAGGATGTATTTTTTTTTAAGTACTTCATCTGTGCTGCTTTATACTTCTCTGCACGACCGCCTCACCCCACTCTGAAGAACTGAATGCCACTCCTGCTTCACATTTATACACCCTTTTATTTGAGCATATCAAAGTTCTTTCCCAACATTAGTTAATTTGGCCTCACAAAACCCTTGCAGAATAGACCCATTTTCCAGATAGGCAAAATTTAGAGGTGAAGGGCCAAATTTTCAATGGTATTTAGGCTTAGGCACCCAGGGGCTTTTGAAAATCCCACTAGGTGCCTTTCTGCATGTTTAGTTGCCTAAATACCTTTCAGAATCCAGCCCTAAGAGACTTGCCCACAGTGAGTCTATGGCCATCAGGAATAGAACCCCAGTCCTGGCTCCCAGTCTCTTGTTCTAACCAATAGATCCTAGAAAGTCAGTTTAATCTCAAAACTTGTGCAATTTTACTTCAATGTTGTTAAAATGATATAATTTGTTTCCTTAGGGAGAAGCGACTAGAAAGTGGCGAGAGGTTGAAAAGCGGAAGTACAATGGACCAGATCTGGCTACACATACTGAACCCCATGGATTCGGATAAGGGAAAATATACCCTGGAAATATTTGATGGGAAAGATTCTCACAGACTGTCAACTGACTTGTCTGGGAAAGGTGAACTGGAGCAGAACATTTCTGTCTTAGGGAAGAGCTAAACACCTGCTACTTTCTGAGATTTCCCCCTCACTTGGGCCTTCAGGCTCCCCTCCCTCACGCTGAGATGGGGAGCACAGCAGAGGGGGAGCTCTGTGAAGTGCCATGGGGATGGTATGCTGTGAATTAGGAGGGGGAGTGGAGGGAAGTGCGCAGAGGAGGGTGGTGTGCAGCATGGGGGGAGGGATAGCTTAGTGGTTTGAGCATTGGCCTGCTAAACCCAGGGTTGTGAGTTAGGGATCTGGGACCAAATCAGTACTTAGTCCTGCTAGTGAAGGCAGGGGGCTAGACTCGATCACCTTTCAGGGTCCCTTCCAGTTCTATGAGATAGGTATATCTCCATATATTATGGGCAAAGTAGCTAATGGCAGGAAGACTCCAACTCCCCTTAGGGATCATTACTGCCATGGGAGAGGTAGCTCCCAGAGAATAGGGCTGTCCTGAGAGATGACCCAAAATTTATTTGCTTCCCCCACAGACCCATGGGGTTTGCAGGAAGCATCCCTGCCCCTCTCTTGGAGGAGAGAATGTGACTCTCACTCTGCCACTGGGACCTCTCAGAGTTGTTCAGATTACTTTTCCCTTCCCTGGCGCTTCTCTGTGGGAAGGGAGCATCAGGGCCTTGATCTTTTAGCAGCACATAAATAGATCACATGTTTTCTTGAGGCAGCTATAAATACTGTTCTATGTGTGATTCTACATGTCCCTATTATCACACACGTTAGGTTAAATCTATTAAATAACAAACCGCAAACTACACTTTCTTCTTAAAATCTCTTTTATTCCTTGCAGCTTTCGAAGACGCAATGGCCGAACACCTAAGGCTAAAGTGAGTTTCTTCTCAAATACTTTCACATTTGAAACTGAACTAAATGTTTACGTTTAAAGCTGAACCACCTGGTTTATTTTTGTTAATAAATGAGACTCTGCAGCTTGGTTTTACCTCCACGTTGCACATCCCACTATGGAGATCCAATCCTGGCAGATTTCTCTTTACAAAGAGCCTTGGTAATGTGAAAATTGCTAAATGCAGGCAATTATTCAAAGCTCATATTTGCAGGGAGGAGAATGTCTGGGCAAGGTATAAGTAAGCCATAGCTTTGGAAGATAAGGCAAATTAAAATTAATTAGTGCCAAGGGAGAGAAGGTCCATATGCGTTTAGATAATATCCTTCTTTACTTTAACCAACATAAGTCAATGTGTGAGATGTTGTCCAATAAAGAGAAAATAGCATTTTAGGATCCTGTTTGCCCTCACTGCTGTAAATCAGATCCATACACACAGACCCTTATGCCCATGCAGAGCCCCATTGATATCACTAAGGTCCTGTTTAGAGGCAAGGATTTGCCAGCATGGATCCAATTTCAGAATCAGGGCCTGTTTGCAACTTCTAGGAAATGGATCCCACAGAGGGATGAATGGCTCAGGGTGTTGGTAATAGTACAGTATCTTCTTCCGCTAGAACCCTAATTTAGAGGCTGCTTTGCTTGCTATCCACTAACTCTCACTACCATCTAACAGCTGTGCAGTGGACCTGATGTGACGTGAGTTGGTGGACACAGTCTAGACCCTGATGGACTGGGGCCCCTGTAGCAAAAGGCACAGTACACTAGTGGTGTCCACAGCCGTACGCCCATTACACACAGTACATATAATTGGCAGTGGTGAGGAGGAGCAGCACTGGCTGTCCACTCCCCACTCAGGTTTGGTCCCACCAGTCCTCTGTCGTGAGGAGGGGGTGGGATTGTAGCCTGGTGCAGAGGAGTTGCAGCGCTGCTCAGGTTTGGCCCCATAGCCCCTCCATCACAACAGAGGGACCACGGGGCCAAAACTAAGTAGGCAGTGGGTCGCTCAGCACTGCTTCTCCACAACATTGCTGTGGGGCCAGATCCTGCACCAGGGCTCCCTCAAGGGGCCTGCCCGACCTCAACCACTTCCAGCAGGCCATGTCCCCTCTCAGGGATGGGAAGTGACACTACACCTGGGCAGGCCAGGCTGGAAGGTGGGAGCTGAGCATGGCACTGGTGCAGGAGAGGCATAAGGGCCAGCAGCTACAGCAGGGATGGTTCCACAGGGATTGGCAATGTGAACCATGGAAAAAAATGTTGGGTCAGCAGAAAAGACATGGCAGGATCATGGCCACTCCTAAGTCTGAGAGGCGTGGAAATGGAGTTGTCACATGTAGGAGTGACCCTTCCAGATCAGGTTTGAGGCATGATGATGGGATCCCAGGAGGAAGCCTGCATTTCCTGGTCCCTGTGAGGTAACTCTTCTATAGATACACAGAGGGCTTCAGCTTTCGAGACTGTCACTCTGGGACAGTTTTCAAAACTAAATTCACTTTTAAAGAAGACGTTTTCCTAGACATGAACCTGAAACTCCAACATCAGCTGTTTCTTATAGTGACCAGTAAATCAGAAAGGACCTCTGATCCTTCATGGGTGGAACACTTCTGAGATCAAGCCTTAAGCAAACATTAGAGGAGCTGCATTATCCACTGGCTACTATGAAGTTTATCAAGAATTTTAAAAAAATTGTTTTCTACATGTCTCTCTAGTTCCAGAAACTGGCCAAAAAAACCTTCATTATGCCCCCCAGATGAAACCTAGAGAATCCTTGAAAATTTCAAACATTTTCCCTGTTCCAATATCTCACCTTACTGCACACCTTTGCTTTCACTTTGGAAGTGAAGTTCTCTATAGAAATTAGGGAACAGGTTCCTATTAAAAACATTCAGGGTACATATTTAATAAATAAAAAATACTAAATTTCTTTTTAATTGTCTTTTTCTTACTTTCAGGGAAGCAGCGATAGCAGAAAAGAGTAAGTAAACAAATGTTGCACATTCTCCTTGGTTCTGTCATACAGATCAAAGGGCCATACTGGTATGTAAAGCTGAACAGTCACATTTGTTCCTTCCCAGATCGTGCCAGAGTTGTTCAAGGTCTGCCAGATGTTGCCACCATCATGGAGGATAAGGTAATACTAAGTAACTGTATACCTATCATGGCCAGGTTGCACAGATGTGCAAGGATGGCTGGCAGGAAGAGGACAAGCAGATTTCCCCTACCTTGTGTCTCCATATAGGGGATGGGCATTGCAGTTGTCAGAGGCCTGGTGTGATACCCATTGCTAACATCACTGAGCAATATGATGGTGGGTGGTCCTTCCAGACACACACACCTTCTTTGTAGGAGAAAATTGTTGGGGGCGGGGTGGGGGTTCCTTTGAAATCCACAAATCTAGGTAGGCCTCAAGGTTCCATTTTTTGTGCACTTGTGAAGTGCAGGGATAGTTTTAATGCTAACCATAGAAAAAGTTACATGAACGGCTCTATCCTTACTCAACTGCTCTCCTTAGACACCACATCCTAGTTTTCAGGGGCTGACAACGGTCTATTGTAGCTGTTTCACATGCCCCTAGTCTCCCTTCCCAACCCTTGCTTTAGGCTAACAACTTTATATATGGGTCCTGATTCTTCTGTCACACTAGTTTTATAATCTATTGGGCTGGATTCTCCTATAAGGGCACTGTGGCTGAGTAAAGAGGCTTTAAAATGACTGTAAATGTAATTTATGCCCACTTTAAGTTCCCTTTACACTGCCAGAGTGGTGTAAAGGGGCCTTAGCACAAATGAGAATCAGTCACATTTACTTCAATGGAGTTATTCCTGATTTACCCTGGGGAAAGTGGCAGAAGAAAGAAGCCCATAATGTCTAAATCTCACCCACTGGCCGGCCCCATCAAAAATCTTAGCGGCTTCTGAGGTCACTTAAAATGACTCACTTTTGTTTAGACATGTATAACCCAGGTTTTGAAAGCGATTAATATAAGCCACCTATACTTCATATAACCACAGCTGTGCCAATGGAACCTGCAAGGAAGAGTAATTAAATTTTAACCATAGCCGCCCTTTGTTTAAAGCTGCAGGCTGGAGAAAGTAATTCTATCTCATTGTGATGCTGTGACTTCTAAACAAAGATGCCTCCCTGCAGGGAAACCTACACCCTTGCAGGAGCTGTACACAGGTTGCAGTTGGTGTGTTTGTACAGTGTCAGACACACTATTGGCATGCACTAAATAAATAAAAATGTGGAGCAGTCATTCTCTCCATTCACATTATTCTGGTGTTTAAGACCCCTACACCTATCCAAAAGAAGATCAACCTGCCCAGCTTAGCAGCCTGAATAGCCATGATAATTTGCAATTTTAACAACCTCATATGAAGTATGAGCTTTGGTAGATTTGTTCACTAATAATAATATAAATCTTGCCCGCCCCCTCAAGAACCTAGTTCTGCCACCTCTGATATACTTCTCAACTCAACTAGATCCTACTATTGAGGGACTCCTGTCCTGTATCATAATGAATAACTCCTTCATAGCCTAGAAACTAAAACAGCCTTCAATTTTATAGTCACATTAATGATCCTTAACATTTTCAAAGCAGTTAAACATACTTCCATTGCTAATGGCCCCAAACAGAATAGCAATGATTTCAGCTGCATGGATTCAATTTCCTATATGGCTAAAGATTTGTGCGCTTAAAAAATGTAGCCTTCCATTTCCTGGCAAGCAAAATGGTATTGTAAGATCATGCTGTCCTAGGCACTGAATAAGAGAAGTACAGTATCTATTTTAGGTAAAAAAAATTGCTGGGATCAGAATCAGGCCCATAGACTTGTATTCTCAGACCACTACCTCTCATGCTGATCAGTATCGTCTCACAGTTTCCTCTTTACTTCCCATCTGTATCCACCTGTTGTCTCTTGTCTTATACCTAAAGCTCTTTGGGGGCAGGGACCATCTTTTTGTTCTGTATTTGTACCACAATGGGGTTCTGGTCAATGACTAGGTCTCCTAGGTGATACAAATAATTAATAAGAATAATAATACATGAGAGATAATCTTTTCTCTTGGGATCGACACGGCTACAAAAATACTGCCAACAATAGTAATCCATAGCATTTATATGGTGCTTTCCATCTTCAAAGCACTTAACAAATGTTAATCAGTTAATCTTCTCAAGTCCCTCTCTGGGGTAGGTGAATAAGCAGTATGATCCCCATTATACAGATGAGGAAACTGAGACAGAAAAGTGGGTAAGTAGCTTGCCTGAGGCCAGAGTGTCTGTGCTGATAAGAACTTACGAGTTCCTGGATCAGTGAAACTTGTGGGGGGTTTTGGAGATCCATTTTTATCTTTCCTTCTTTGTCAAATTATGCTTTAAGCCACTGGCTGTGAATTGCCACTGTAACGCTGTATTTACTATATTTTTAAAACAGACCCTGTGTTTGACATGCTGCATATCTGGTGATCCTTACCCAGAAATCAGTTGGTTCAAGAACGAGAAGTTAGTAGTTTTTAAAGATCGTTACAAAATGGACGTGAAGGGGATAGTTGTCACAATTACCATTGAGAAAGTCTGCAGTGACGACACAGGAAAATACAGCATCTATGTCAAGAACAAATATGGCTCTGAAACGGGGCAGGTTACTATCAGTGTGTACAAGCATGGAGAAGAACCGATCGAGCTATGGGAAAAATGATTTCCAACACACTCAGAAACCCAGGTTGGGATTTCCAAAGAGGCTTAAAGGCATTAGGCACCAAACTCCCATTGAATGTCAAAGGGATTTAGACACCTGGGTTCCTTTGACAATCTCAGCCTTAAAATTCAGACTAGTATCTCTTTTTATTATCTACGTATAAAATAAAGGTTTTCACAGTGATTTACAGTATAAGATATCACAATATACCCCTCTTAAAAGCATCTATAGAAATCTGGAGAAAACCTTCAAAATCCCACTCTAAGCCTACAGAATTAGACAATGGCTTCATATAGTGTGCCACTTTTCAGCTAACAGCACTATGTATAACGTCCCTCGCACTCAGATACAGTAGGGGTTCATGTATACAAGAACTTATCAGTTTGTATTAAGCCCCTGTGTGTTATTGAATATCCTGTAGCAGGAGAATGTTGATGTGTGCATTGTTATTAAAACGTAACCCTGCTTGGGCCCAATTCAGCACAGTACTCAAGCACATGCATAACTAGATGTCAGTGGGACCACTGGTGTGCTGAAAGTTAGGCATGTTCCTAAATACCTCGCTGAAACAGGGCCTTGATGCACTTATGTTTACAAGGCTAAGCCATGTGGGAGGAAAGTAAGGCAGCATTTAATGCTGTTTTAAATAAAGATCAAGGCAAAAATGGAAAAGTTCATTTCTAAAATGTTTGACAGCTCCTGTTTCTAAACTACCCACAGTTTCAGAAGAGGGTTTCCATGCCACTGTTTTATCTGTTACTATTGATCAAGAACAGTGTTTGCCTGTCATACTGTAGTTGATCCTGTATTCTATGCAGTGTTTAAAAGGTGTGTGCTAAATAAAAAATGTAAAACTTGACAACAATACAGGAGTGAGTCGTACCTAAAAGTGTCCATGGAAAGGACAGTTTGGAAACAGATTTGTGTTTGTGAGGGAGAGAGAAAGAGCAAGAAATACAAACTTTTCTGAATCGGAGGTAACTTCCCGATATGACTAACTAGATTAGTTTAAACCGAACACATCTTCTACAAAGGTGTTTGTACAGTGCCAAGTACAATGGACCTGGGGATCTTGGTTGGTCCCTAGGCACTGCTATAATAAACATGATGAATAACAATGATAACATGACATAGTATTTGGGACCAGATCCTCTCTCCTTAGAGGATTACGTATAACTAGATGATGTCATAATCCATACACCAGACTAGGTAACCCACTTGGAGAAAGCTGAGGCAGTACTGCGCACCTTAAGACGGGCTGGCCTCACCACTAATCAGTAGCGTAGCTAGGGGGGTTCAGGGGAAGCAGCCGCTTCCCCTCAGTACATTTTTCAAAAGCGTGCCGCCGCTGGGGTCCTGCAGGCAAGTGGGGGGCAGCACGGCCGGACTCCGGAGGAGCCATTGGGGGGGGCGGCGGGCGTGGCCAGAGGAGCGAAGGGGCCGGCTCCTTGGCCATTGCGCCCCACGCGGCCCCAACATTGCCGCCGCGGCCGCCTCCTGCAGAGGCTCAGGGCTCGGCGGCTGAGCGCTCCGCAGTTGGCGGGCAGATCCCCTCTCCCCGGCAGCTTCCTGCTTCCGGGCCGAGGGAAGCAGGAAGCTGCCGGGGAGAGGGGATCTGCCTGCCAGCTGCGGGGCGCTTGGCCGCCGAGCCCTGAGCCGCCGCAGGAGGCGGCCGCACTGAGCGTGGGGCGCGATGGCCGAGGAGCCCGGCCACTTCGCTCCTCCGGCCGCGCCCGCCGCCCCCCCAAATGGCTCCTCTGGAGTCCGGCCGTGCCGCCCCCCCCCCTGGAGCCCGGCCGTGCTGCCCCCCCCCTTGCCTGCAGGAGCCCAGCGCCGGCCCGGCAGGCTCCGCTTTTGAAAAAAATGCTGGGCTGCCTGGGCCGAGGGAACCAGGAAGCTGCCAGGGAGAGGGGATCTGCCCGCCAGCTGCTGCCTGCCCCACTGCTCCGTTCCCCCCAGCCCCCGGGAGAAGCGAGCAGCGCCCGCCCGCCACCCCTTCCCCCGCGCCCACCCACCCCCCCTCCGAGCCCCTCCGAGGGGGGGCGCAGCATAGCCGCAGCGTGGCCGGAGGAGCCAAGGGGGGGGGCACGGAGCGGCCGGAGGAGGAGCGAAGGAGGGGCGTGGCCAGAGGAGCCAAGGGGGGGCACCTTTTTTATGGTTGCTCCCCCTGCACTGAGAAGCTGGCTACGCCACTGCCGCTAATCCCACTAAATGCGCTATAGGGCTAGCAGAGGCTAGGTACCTGAGGTATATTGTAGGAAGGGGCATAGTGAAGCCCCAAACGAATAAGCTAGAGGCAATTCAAAACTGACCCCGGCCAACCCGAAAGAAGCAGGTCCGCGCGTTCCTAGGCGTGGTAGGCTATTATCGACGTTTTATTCCCCACTTTGCCACTAGGGCAAGTCCCCTAACGGACCTTGTAAAGGCCCGAGGTCCAGACATGGTGAAGTGGACCGCCGCAGCAGAGGGGGTGTTCACAGACTTTCGGACAGCCCTTTGTAAGGACCCCGTACTCATAGCCTCAGACTTTAACAAGGAATTTATTCTACAAACAGACGTTTCCAAGGTGGGGTTGGGGGCGGTTCTGTCGCAAATGGTGGGAGAAAAGGAACACCAATCCTCTACTTAAGCAGAAAACTGCTCCCAAGAGAACAGAAATATGCAGTAGTGGAGAGAGAATGCCTTGCTGTCAAATGAGCCAGGGAAACACTGTGTTATTACCTCTTAGGCCGGCGATTTACTCTTGTGACGGACTATGTACCCCTCCAGTGGATGCAGCGGAATAAGGAAAAGAACGCAAGGGTCACCAGGTGGTTCTTATCCCTCCAACCGTTCCACTTCCGCATATGGCACAGGGCTGGATGCCACCATGGCAATGCTGATGGTCTGTCACGAGCACAGTGCCTGGCATCCCAAGTTGCCCAACTCTATGGTGTTGAGCAGGGTGGGGGGGATATGTGATGGGGCAAGGCCAGATGGCTATAGGAAAATAGTGAGAATCAGGTATGTTAGCACCAGGCTAAACAAATCCCTATTACCATGGTAACCAAATGGCCGTTGCTCCAGGTTAATCAAGACACCGGGGGCCAATTAAGATCCTTCCAGAAAGCAGTGGAGACAGCTAGGTTGATTGGGACACCTGAAGCCAACCAGGGACTGGCTGAAACTAGTTAAAAGCCTCCCACTTGGTCAGGTGGCAGGTGTGCCAGGAGCTGTAGAAGGGAGCCACACTGCTAGAGAAATGGAGAAGTACAAACCTTATCAGGCACAAGAAAGGAGGCCCTAAGGTAAGGGTGATGCAGATATTGAGGAAATGGGGGCTGCTGTGGGGAAGTGGCCCAGGGAATCATACTCGTCCTGTTTCCAAAAAGTCAGCTACCAAGAGCTGCTACTATCAGGGTCCCTGGGCTGGAGCCCAGAGTAGAGGGTGGGCCTGGGCTCACCCTCCCTCCCCCCTTCCCGACTAATCACTGAGACTGGGAGACAACAGAGACTGTGCGAGGGAGGATAACTTCTCCTCACCTCCCTTGCTGGCTTATGATGAAAATGGCTCAGTAGGCTGTGACCTTTGCCTCTAGAGAGAGAAGGGCTATGTGGAGGGTCACAGTGAGCCCCGGAGACTAGCGTAATCTGCCAGGAAGTGCGGGACCCACTGAGACAAGGTTGGAGCTTTGTCACACTATGGATTGATGTACATGTGACTTCTGTCCTTCCCCCCCACCCCACACACACACAGAAATCCCTTTATAAAGCCTAATTGTGAGTGCAACAGATGCTTACCACTGTTGTGCACTTTAGTTTAATGTTTAGCTTCCCAAGGTCTGGCTGCTGGAGGACAATGAGGACAGGTCACTATGAAAAATTTAATGAAATCTTTGAGTCAGTGAACTTTTCCAAAGTCAGGATCTGGTGTTTGTGCATGAACTCCTCACAGAAATTGAAACTTTCAGTTGCAAACAGATGAGCTGCCTGATGAGCAGCATTGCATTGTTGGCAAGGTGCAGTTTGTATATTTCCCCCTTCATGTGAAGCATCAAGTATTGGCTATAGCTGGGGACAGGATAACACACTGTTGGATCAATGGTTTGCTCAGCTAAAGCAAATCCTTTACAAATATATTTTAAAATTCCTTATTAACAAACATATAATAATATTTTAAAATCACAAATTGGATCTCTAAAATGAATTTTAAAACATTCAAATGATTAAAGACAATATAGTTTAGGGCAATGTGCTCTTAAAACCAAGTGGAGGTTTAGTAGCCAGCACTAGAACTCAGATCTCCTAACTCTTAATCCTGTGACATGCTCACGGATTAAAACTGTGATGAATTAGAGATAGACCTGAACTGTCCCAAAGTTTGGGGTGTATTTGGATCTCTGATCCCAATTTGGGCTTGTCTCTAAAAAATTAAAACTAGACAACAATGTAAAGTAAATTTGTAAGAAAAATTCATCATTGTTTTCCCATTCAGCTAAAAACTACTACCTAGTCTGTAGTACAGTACTAGAAATGTTGACTTAGACAGGTCAGTCACCTCTAGGGCACAAACACTATTTGAATTAAGCAATTTTATTGCAAACCACAGTTTTACCTAATGCCTTCCAAAGCCAGCAGTCAGGCTTGATCAAGGAGGGATGAGTATTACACTGTGAGTGAGGAATTCTGAGATTATGAATGTGGAGAGTAACAATCAAGAATTAAGTACTCCCATTTATTTTTCCACTTCAATCCCCAGGCAACAGTTCCATGTTTTGTTTCCACTTTAAATCTGTATGTATGGGACCATCACTAAATACATTTAAATATTGTAACAAACTGATTAGTGCATATGTGCTACTGGATGGAATCAGAACTGATCAGCTGTAGGTCATAGGCCCTGTACTGATCATCACTAAAGGAGATTCTTCTTTTCCTCACATGGTAGGGCCCAGTTCTTTTGGAAGAGACTGATCTGTGTTCTATCTTCACTGTCTCAGTGAAGTTCCAAGTACCCACATGCAGCATAGTGAGTCATGAAGCTCTTCACTGGCCATGGATTTATTACAATATATAAGAAATATAATTTCACATCCAGTGACTATTTCTCTAAAGTTTTATATAACTGAACACTTTTATTTATTTAGAAAATGGGTAAAATTTTCAGAAGTGCTTCAGTGACTTACGAGCCTAAGTATCATTTTAACTAATGACTTAGGCATGGTCTACACAGTTTATGTACCAGTATAACTGTATCCATTTGGGGTGTGATTCTTTTTATTTATATAGTTATATCAGTATAACTCCTAGTGTGGACACGGTTATAGCTGCACAAAGGTGCCTTACACCAGTATAGCTTATTCCCCTTCCTTTATGGAATAAGCTATACCAGTATAAGCAAATTTATATTGGTATAACTGTATCCACACTAGAGAGGTTGTATTGCTTTAACTATACCATTATATTTAAAGTGATACAAATTTTATGAGTACACAAACCCTTATGCATTTAGGAGCCTAAGTACCATTGGCTTTCAATAAGACAAGGGCTTACCTACACAGGGAAATAGCCTGGAATAGCTATTCCACATTAGCTCCCCATGTGGCTATTCTTCTTCTGCATTTTGTACTTTAGTTTAATTTATTTTGGAAGCAATAAACTTGCTAGGAAAGAGACAGTCAAGGTAAAGAGACAGTCAAGGTAAAGAGACAGCCACAGACCACAATGAACTAGAGGTTATTTCTATTAAGAATAAACAGATGATTAATAATTGATACTTCATTGTTAATAATTAGCAGATCATCTCATGAGACAGGCCACATTTCTTTCTGTATAAATAGCATTTAATTCAGTAGATGGCTGCTCCATTCTCTTT